CACCACCACCGACACAGCTACCACGAGGGCCTTCAGCACGCCCACCTGCACCACCTGCAGCCTCACCACCACCACCACCACAACCTGCAGGCCGCACGAGAACTCTCCCGCGACCGACGGAACAGAGGCCACACGTCGGCCGACAGCGGGAGGTCGTCACCGTCTTGCTGTAGGCACTGTAACCCGCTCGGGTCGTTAAGTTCACTCTCAAGTCACGACTACTGCAGCAACACTCGCCTGGCGCTGCCCTGCACAGCCAAGGTGGGTGGACGCCTCGCCACCCCCCAGCGGAGCCGCCCACTCCCACGCCTCGACTCTGACTACATCACACTGTGGAGCTGCCACTCCCCGCCGGTATGTGTCGCCTACACTGATGCCCACACTCACACCCACTCTCCAACCTCACACTCCAACCTCACACTCCAACCTCACTCTCCAACCTCACTCTCCAACCTCACACTCACCCTCCAGCCGCGCACACACCCACCCACCCCACCAGAAGTAAGCGTTACTGCAAATAGTTTGAGGAATTTGTGGCACAACTGCAGATTATTAGCTTGAAAGGAAAGATAATTCAATGATTATACATTTTAGCGAGGAGGGAGACAACTATGAGAGTAATATGATGTAGACAAGAGGCTAGGGAGGCTGGTGTGACCGGCTGGAAGGTGGTGGTGATGTGGTCTTAACATTGGGCATCATGTGGCATCATACACTTGGGCTGACCCATCTTCACAGTTCAGCTCACCTCTTAAAAGGAAACTTTCTTGGCAACACGTACAACAAAAATATCAACATGGGAAGCAACATTGAACTATATTTTACCTCACACCGAGATAAATGTTTCAGATTATTCAAACGCAGCAGTAGCGAATCATTGAGATAATAGCCTGCATATTCTCAGTGTAAATATTGGTGTTGTATGTTGCTGCTGTGAGGTTGAGGCCGAGCACTGTGGCACCCGCGATGTTGAGTGAGGCGCCGGGCACACAGGCGAGCTCTACTGGGGGGGGGGGGGGGGGGACACTCACACACACCCCCAGTATATATATACGTGTTCTTAACCAGCTTTTGTTGTAGTCGTGTGTCTCGCCAAGGTGTAGATATACTGTTATGTATCAGTGTTTAGTGGCAGCTCGGATGAAACCAATCTTCAGTACGTATTGTTCCAGTTACCAGGTGTGTGTGTGTGTGTGTGTGTTACCAGGTGTGTGTGTGTGCGAGTGTTTCCCGTTGTGTTACGCATGTTTAGTTATGTGTGTAAATCACGAAAAATAAACACGTGATTAAAAATGTGACAGTGTCCGACCACGGAGGAAAATTGGAACAGGGATTTCCTTAAGTACTTTCGTATATTAATACATCTTCAGAAGGAGTCTCCTTCTGAAGATGTATTAATTTCCTTCTGAAGATGTATTAATATACGAAAGTACTTAAGGAAATTCCTGTTTCAATTTTCCTTCGTGGTCTGACACTGTCACATGTTCAGAGTTATGTATATAGATTCCTAACCAACTATAGCTTTGCCTAACTAAACCTGAACTAACTCATTACTGTACCAACCACAGAGACAAGACATGTAATCATGTCTCTGTTGATTTGTAATATTACACGTGTCTCAGTTATCAATTTCAGTAGGCAATTTGTTAGGCTACGAGGCGGCCTGCAGGTAGGCTACTGTGGTCTACGTTCTCGGCTCACAATCCAGGGACCCGGGTTCAATCCTCGCCCGGACGCAAATGGGTTGGCATGTTTCCGTTCACCTATTACCTCTGTTCACCTATAGTAGTAAATTGCCAGCCGGAAGTTAGGCCACTTGCTGTGGGTTGTATCCTGGGGGAAGAGTAATAGTTGATTAAGGTCTCTAGGGGGAACTTGATAAACTTAAGTACAGGCTTCCTGTTCCCCAAAACGGGAATTCAATTATATTTTCACCCACTGCAAAAATATCCATTTAAGGTTACCTTGCTATGATTTCGAGGCTCAATGTCCCCGCGGCCCGGTCCCCGACCAGGCCCCCTGGTTGCTGCACTGATCAACGAGTCTACCAGTCAAATACTAGACATTGTGTAATATATATATATATATATATATATATATATATATATATATATATATATATATATATATATATATATATATATATACATATATGTCGTACCTAGTAGCCAGAACGCACTTTTCAGCCTACTATGCAAGGCCCGATTTGCCTAATAAGCTAAGTTTTCCTGATTTAATATATTTTCTCAAATTTTTTTCTTATGAAATGATAAAGCTACCCATTTCATTATGCATGAGGTCAATTTATTTTATTGGAGTTAAAATTAACGTAGATATATGACCGAACCTAACCAACCCTACCTAACCTAACCTAACTTATCTTTATAGGTTAGGTTAGGTTAGGTAGCCGAAAAAGTTAGGTTAGGTTGGGTTAGGTAGGTTAGGTAATCGAAAAACAATTAATTCATGAAAACTTGGCTTATTGAGCAAATCGGGCCTTGCATAGTAGGCTGAGAAGTGAGTTCTGGCTACTAGGTACGACATATATATATATATATATATATATATATATATATATATATATATATATATATATATATATATATATATATATATATATATATATATATTACATGTGTCTCATGTGTGGCCGCGTTTGTGGTAGAAAATAATAATATCAAAAACTCATCACCCCATCATTTTCGTTTTATAATAATAATAATAATAATAATAATAATAATAATAATAATAATAATAATAATAATTATTATTATTATTATTTATGATGTCTATGCTCTTGTTTACTGTCAAATTTGGGTGCGCATCGCTGCAAGTCGAATGACCTGATTTGACAGAGGTCTATGCTTACACAAAGTTTAATGTTTGTATTAGCTTTGTGTAGTTTTCGTATACTGACATCATAGTTTTGATTAATTTAGTTAAAAGTGCATGAGTAGTCTGCGTGATCTGAAAAAAGGTGCATGTGTAACTATTGAATATATATTGGGTTAGATGTGTGTGTGTGTGTGTGTGTATTTATTATTTGTGTCTGCAGATTCGAGCTATTTAGCTCTTGGTCCCCACCTTCCTAGGCAGTCTATTTTTCTTATGTCTACTACATGCAGTTTTCTCTAACACACGCACGCACACACACACATATCCCCAGGAAGTAGGCCGTAATAGCTGTCTTAACTACCAGGTACTTATTTACTGCTAGGTGAACAGCGAATCATCAGGGTGAAAGAAACTCTGCTCATTTGTTTCCGCCTCCGCCGGGAATCGAACCCGGGCTATTCGGACTACGATCCCCGAGCGTTGTCCAATCAGCCGTAAGGCCCAGTGTGTGTGTGTGTGTGTGTGTGTGTGTGTGTGTGTGTGTGTGTGTGTGTGTGTGTGTGTGTGTGTGTGTACTCACCTAGTTGTGCTTGCGGGGGTTGAGGTCTGGGTCTTTGGTCCTGGTTGATACCTGGCAACCCGTTCTCGCAAATTCGTAAAGTCAATATTGACTTATTAACTACGTGCATAGGTGATATACTAAACATAATAGATACCCTTAAAAAGATTCATAGAAAACACCGACCTTACCTAACCTTGTTAGTATCTTAAGATAAGCATCTTATTGCTTCGTAATTACAATTATTACTTAACCTATACCTATTATAGGTTAGGTAATAATTGTAATTACGAAGCAATAAGATGCTTATCTTAACATACTAAGTAGGTTAGGTAAGGTCGGTGTTTTCTATGAAGCTTTTCAAGGGAAACTATTATGTTAAGTATGTCACCTATGCACATATTTTATAAGTCAATATTGACTTATTAAATTTGCGAGAACGGGTTGCACCTGGTTGATGGGGTTCTGGGAGTTCTTCTACTCCCCAAGCCCGGCCCGAGGCCAGGCTCGACTTGTGAGAGTTTGGTCCACCAGGCTGTTGCTTGGAGCGGCCCGCAGGCCCACATACCCACCACAGCCCGGTTGGTCCGGCACTCCTTGGAGGAATAAATCTAGTTTCCTCTTGAAAATGTCCACGGTTGTTCCAGCAATATTTGCCGGAACCGTTGTTCCTGCCTCTCAACCGTCAATCAACTGATGTACAGATTCCTGAGCCTACTGGGGTGTGTGTGTGTGTGTGTGTGTGTGTGTGTGTGTGTCCAAACTGAGGGTATGCATTCTTCCTGTCTTCTCAGACTAATATAATCTCTGTTATTTGTATTTGGTGCTTAATGTTTTATTAGTTTTAATTCAATAATGTATTTAGTTGTTTGTTTTAATTAATTGCATAGAATAGTGGCATTATTTCCTTTAAATTACATTAGTCTAATAAAATCCACAGGAGCCGTGGTGAGGATTCGAACCTAATGTGCTGGGGTGTTCCCAGATGCACGCTCTACACGACTACATCCCCCCCCCCATACACACTGGCTCTGTCGTCCAGTAACTCTACCTCTGACGCTCTTCTTTCAATACACAGAGAATCACATTGTCGTGAATGATATATGATCAGTCATATATAATATATACTAGTATATGATATATGGTCAAAATCAACAGGATTTTCTTTTTGATATATCAGATAATGTGAGTCTCTGTGTGTTAAAAGAGGAGCGTCAGAGGTTGAGTTACTAGACGACGGAGTGCATGGGGGGGGGGGGGTTGTGGGAAACCCTGGCTTGGCTTCAGTGGAAGCTTCAGGAATCCTCGAGAGTGCAGTAGTGCCCCAGGTTGCAATTCTTTTACCATGTCGTGGTGTAGTCAAGAGTGTGCATCTGGGAACACCCAACGCATAGATTCGAACCCCCATCACGGCTCCTGTGGATTTTCTCATTCATATATTGTATCACGATAATGTGATTTGTCTGTGTATTATATTAGTCTAGTTTATCCAATTCATTATTTTTTTTTATAGTACTTCGACTAGACTGGTGTTGTTGCTGTTGTGTGTGTTTCATATTGCTGTATATGCCATTTGTGTGGTTAATTCATTAAGTGTGGGTTGCAGGGCAGCTCTGTGGAGGAGCGAGTGAGCAGGTTGGAGGGTGACAAGGAGTCCTTGCAGCTTCAGGTGACAGTCCTCAGTGAGCAGGTGGAGGCGCAGACGGAGAAGATAGCAGACCTGGAGAGTCTCCTCCAACAAAAGAAGGACCAACTGCACAAGTCTGAGGAACAGTTACAGAAAGTATGTTGACTGGTAGTTGCTAGCTAGATGCCCTTTTGGGCCAGATTCACGAAGCAGTTACGCAAATACTTACGAACGTGTACATCTTTTCTCAATCTTTGGCTGCTTTGTTTACAATTATTAGCCAGTTAATGAGCTCTGAACCACCAGGAGGCTGTTTATAACAATAACAACAGTTGGTTGGGAAGTTTTCATGCTTGTTAACTGTTTAATAAATGTAAACAAAGCCGCCAAAGATTGAGAAAAGATGTACACGTTCGTAAGTGCTTGCGTAACTGCTTCGTGAATCTGGCCCCTTGAGTATATATTGACTTAATATACAAGACTTGAGTATATTTGGTCAACATATATACACACAACATATGTATCAGAGATTTGACTTTGACAGGATGTAGAGTGCTTGTCAACAAGCCATCTCTTTGTGACCGTCTTACTCTATCCTGTAGATCTATCTTCCACACCAATATACATATCACTCATCCTTAAGTTGCATTTTCTAGATCATGTTGATATTTCCAGCAGTGGTGGAGTGGCTAGTGATAAGGGTGTGCCTCGGAAAAAAGGTACATTAATGTTATTTGTGGACGGGTTTATGACAAGGTAATCATTTGTATGTGAATTATTTAATGATGATAGATGTTGATATCATGCCAAGCAGCAACTTGCAAATGAGTTCTAGGATGGACATCTAAGATACATCTTCAGCGCTTCAATCACAATTTAGCCTTCTGAGGCCAACATTTTGCCATATAAACTGAGGCAGACTTCAATAATTATACAGTATTTTCAACCAGGTGTCTAGCTGACTAAAGTGCATTTGGTATGTTGTTTGCTCTGACATTCTGACATGACATATGAAAATTTGACATGCAGACCCTTTGAGGATTTAATATTACCATGGTGTCTAACATGTGGGCATCATTCTGTCATCAGTACTGTTATGAGATGACTTAGTGGTCATTGCAGTATTTTCTGCCCCTTCACCAGATGTCGTTTATTTTCATGATGGTGGTGTCATAGTTCTTTGTTATGGTTGTGTGTTGAGCACCACCTACTGCCCAACACGGCTTGTGTGTTGAGCACCGCCTACTGCCCAACACGGCTTGTGTGTTGAGCACCGCCTACTGCCCAACACGGCTTGTGTGTTGAGCACCGCCTACTGCCCAACACGACTTGTGTGTTGAGCACCGCCTACTGCCCAACACGGCTTGTGTGTTGAGCAGCACCTACTGCCCAACACGGCTTGTGTGTTGAGCACCGCCTACTGCCCAACACGGCTTGTGTGTTGAGCACCGCCTACTGCCCAACACGGCTTGTGTGTTGAGCACCGCCTACTGCCCAACACGGCTTGTGTGTTGAGCACCACCTACTGCCCAACACGGCTTGTGTGTTGAGCACCGCCTACTGCCCAACACGGCTTGTGTGTTGAGCACCGCCTACTGCCCAACACGGCTTGTGTGTTGAGCACCGCCTACTGCCCAACACGGCTTGTGTGTTGAGCACCGCCTACTGCCCAACACGGCTTGTGTGTTGAGCACCGCCTACTGCCCAACACGGCTTGTGTGTTGAGCACCGCCTACTGCCCAACACGGCTTGTGTGTTGAGCACCGCCTACTGCCCAACACGGCTTGTGTGTTGAGCACCGCCTACTGCCCAACACGGCTTGTGTGTTGAGCACCGCCTACTGCCCAACACGGCTTGTGTGTTGAGCACCGCCTACTGCCCAACACGGCTTGTGTGTTGAGCACCGCCTACTGCCCAACACGGCTTGTGTGTTGAGCACCGCCTACTGCCCAACACGGCTTGTGTGTTGAGCACCGCCTACTGCCCAACACGGCTTGCGTGTGCAGGTTGGCACTGTTAAGAGTGTTGATGTTGGGATTTGGTTTATCTCACTTTTCCTCGTGTTAAGTCTGGAATTTTTCCACATTTGTTCTTTGCTCTGTACTTGTCATTGGAGTGTCTGGTTTGTGTTAAGGTTCTTCCACTAATAATAATTTTGTTAGGTAATAGGGTTGGGAACTTCTTACGTGTACAATGACGTTCAGGCTTTTTGACATTTGGCCAAGGTGATAATTGTTTTTTCTGTGGTGATCCCCTTCGGCACCCTGGAGCTTATCGGACTGATATTCTCTATATTAGTCTGGGACCTTAATCAATGGAGTTCTACCTACCGGGGACCACGAGCCACAACCTGGCCCCCCTCAGAGAGGCGCAGGGAGCAATGGCTCATAGAAACCCCCCCCCCCCTTGTATTTGGGAGTATTCCATATCTGTCATCGACTGGGGTTAGGCACCCAAAAAGGTAGATGTCTAAGGTGGCAGCTCCTCCTTTGGGAGGTTTGGGGCTGGCAGGGCAGGCTTCTTCCCCTTCGCTACGTCAGGTCATCTTGGAGTGGGTACACTTGGGCGTGGTTGAAACGACCTCGTGTCTCAGGTGGGTTTCCTGCTTGTTTCCAGTACCGAAACGGGACTGTGCGGATCTTCGGTTCATTGTGGACTTGTCCCGTCTGAACCGCTGGATTCCTTGCCCCCCTCCTTTCGGATGGCCATTCTGTCCCAGGTCCGGCTTCTCTTGGAGCTGGGGTGTTGGATGGTGTCTTTGGACCTCAGGGACGCGTATTGGCACGTCCCGATTCATCTGGGGCTCAGGGACCGGTTAGGTTTCGTTGTGGGGAGGCATGCTTACCACTTTTGTTGCCTTCCTTTTGGCTTGAATCTGGCACCTCATTTTACCTAGGTCATGATGACCTGTCTGCGTATGCTAGGGGTTTGGGTTCTGGTCTACCTCGACGACTGGCTGGTGTGGGATCCCAGCCAGTCTGCTTGTTTGCTCATCAGGAGTGTGGTTCTTTCCCAGCTTGCCAGGTTCGGGTTCCTGGGGAACAGGAGGAAGTTCTATCAGGTTTTGTCTCAGGTTCGGACTTGGCTGGGCCTTATGTGGGACTCTCGGACAGCTTCCGTGTCTCTCCTTCCTGTGATGTTGCTGCAGCTGCAGTCCCGCCTTCAGTTGTTCCTGGGGGAGGTCTTGAGTCACTTGGCGGTTACTCGAGCAGTTGTGTGGGAGTCTGAACTTTCCCGTGCTAGTTTACCTACCGGGTAGGGTCTGGGGGTACTGACCCCCTCCCACACACACATATATTCCCAGTATAAAACTAGATATGATAGTGAAATAGAACCGTAGTCATTGCTGTAAACAACCGATGGCTAGAAAGGCGGGATCCAAGAGTCAATGCGCGATCCTGCAGGCACAAATAGGTGAGTGTACACACACACACACACACACACACACACACACACACACACACACTCACAACACTGGAAGACAGAAGAGTAAGAGGAGACATGATCACTATAGTACCTACAAAATTCTCAGAGGAATTCACAGGGTAGATAAGGATAAACTTTTTAACATAGGTGGTACGCGAACAAGGGGACACAGGTGGAGACTTGAGTACCCAAATGAGCCACAGGGATGCTAGAAAGAACTTTTTCAGTGACAGAGTATTAACAATTGGAATGCATTAGGCAGTGATGTGGTGGAGGCTGACTCCATACACAGTTTCAAATATAGATATGATAGAGCCCAATAGGCTAAGGAATCTGTACACCAGTTGATTGACAGTTGAGAGGTGGGACCAAAGAGCCAGAGCTCAACCCCCGCAAACACAACTAGGTGTGTACACTCACTCACTCACTCACTCACTCATACTCATGCTTTCACTGTCACACTCACTCTCACTCCATAATGAATCTTTGTACTCTGCTGTACCTTGTATACAATATTATCCTGATAAATGTTGGAACAGCTATTGTATAATGAATCTTTTTACCTCTTTCTCAGTTTCAATATTTAGTATTTATGTTAACTACAGGAAGCAATGGCAAGATCGAGTTTGGAGACGCAGTGTCTGGAACTAGTAAGTGAAATAAGCAATTTGAAGCTCCGTCAAGCTGCATACGAACGCGAAAATATTGATCTTCGAGAAAAAATTAGACGATCGGATCATCAATCTGATCATGCCAAAGCACAGGTACATAAATCCAATTTTTATTTTAACTCTATTTGTATATGCTTTTTAGTCTGTATATGTCAATGTGCTCAGCAAATGTTGTGTTGTGTTTTTAAATGTTATTGACAGTATTGTAATTTATTGCTGATGAGTACTAATAAAAGTCCACTTTACCTGCAAGCTTCATTGGCTGTTGTTAAAATGAGACTTGACATTGTTGGTTTTTGTGGTATTAACCTACCGGCCAACTTTGTTGGAGTAGAATGCCTTTATTACTGTTCATTATTAATATTTTATGAAAGGAAGTCTACTTTGCTGATGTGTGCCATTATATCATGATAGAATCTGTTAACATTTATTCATGATTTCAAGTTTTGACAAGCTAGAGATAGTTTACATATTGATTTAAATATGTATATTTTATGTATATTACTTTTACATATCAGTTAGGTTTTTTCAGTATCCTGAGTAACCTTGGTTATTATGATCAGTTACTACAACATGAGTTCCAAAACAAGTTGTTAACTTCGTAAATTTATGTTGCGTCTTTAGCATGTTACTCTTAAAACTTCATACTGTTTAAATAATTCTAGTTTCCATATGATTTTGTTTAACTAGATATAAGCCTTAAATTGGAAGAGATGTTACCTTATATTTGAGACTAATGGAATGTGTCACATAAGTAGCTTCCTCTGCTAGCCTTTATGTGTCATAATATCATCAGCACCCTGTTTAATGAATGGTCCGTGTATTACATGTAGTGTTGCTATAGTGTTTGTACTGAGCATGTTAGTTATGTGTTGTACCAATTGTGTTGTGGTGTGATCAGCCAGCAGTGTCTGGTGCCTGTATTGGACGCACTCCTAGCATCCGGAGCGTGACACCCGCGGCTGCTTCCACTCCTATTCACTCCTTCCTGGTCACACCAGATTCACCACCACCTAGTCACCAGGTATTGTATTACCTTACTGCTTGCCGGCTAACATGTTTCATTCACTTGGATTGTAAGAGATTTGAACTCAGGCCTTAAAATTATGAGACCACTGTCCTGTGAACCAGGCCATGAATCCTCATACCCTTGTTGTAAGAATCCATGTCCAGGTTGGTAGCCGTCTCTTCTTGTTGAGGCCAGAGTTGAAATTTCCGATAATCTAAGTGAATTGAATGCTATTATCCATGCTAAAGTGGTTTGCATCTTATCATTTAATGTTTTATCTTACCATACTTCAGTAATAAGCATAGCATAGAGAAAACACTTCCCCTTATTGATGGCTTTTATCTTAACAACATTCCAACCTGGTGGTCGACTCTACAGTGCAGTATTTCTTTTCTACAAGGTCTTTTCAATGCATAGTGTCCTGGCTATACTGATTTTCTGTTTAGGTATTCCCAGTAGAGATGACTTATGGTTTTCTTTATTTATAAACCAGTCCCCATGTAGTTGCAAATGGCAGACTGAATATAACGTGATGAATAAAACTCAAGCCATCTCTTAGACACAAACATATTATCATACAAAAGAGCAAACATTAAACTCAACATACCCCCTCCCAGTGAATATTTAAATACTGGTACAGTAAAACAGTGCAATACAGTTTAAATATTGTACTACATTAGAGCTGGAAGAGTCTACAACCTCACTTGTGGCTTCATAGTTCACGATTTCTTCTCCAGGTCTGTAGTGGCCAATAGGTTAACTTTTAATCAGTTTATCCTTGAAGATGCTGTCTCTGTGTTGATGGCTGCTCAGGGGCTGCCGCCCCAGCTATCGGGCGCCTGACAGCTGAGTGGACAGCGCTGAGGATTTATAGTCCTGAGGTTCCGGGTTCGATCCCCAGTGGAGGTGGAGACAAATGAGCAAAATGTTTCTTTCAACCTGATGCCCCTGTTACCTAGCAGTAAATAGGTACCTGGGAGTTAGACAGCTGCTACGGGCTGCTTCCTGGGGGGGGGGGGGGTGTAACAAAAAGGAGGCTTGGTCGAGGACCGGCCAAGGGGACGCTAAGCCCCGAAATCATCTCAAGATAACCTCAAGATAACCTCCATGCTTTAGTGTTTGCTTTGCTTTAAATATATATCCCTGGAATTGTATACAGTATGTGGTTATATATATTACTGTTACTGTACTCATTATCCCAAATAACAACTTGGTAGCACAGTACCTCTAGTTACTCAGGTGTATAACATCTATACAGGATATGTATTTCTTTCTCCTTGCATTTAGAGCACGACCTGAATCATTACTAACGCAATGACGTCCATCTTATGTCGTATTTTAATGACAATAACAATATGCACTTTATTATGGTGTAGATTTTTTGTATTTATATATTTATAGAAAAACATCAAATTAACATGTAATATTTTATTAAAATTTGCATAAAATGTGATATGTTAACCTGGGTGTGATGCTAACTTGAAATATGTGTCCAGCTTGCAGCCCAGCTGACCAACTCCCCTTCTCCAAGTAGCATCTCAACCCTGTCCACAATCCCAGCCTCCTCACCCACCAAGTCCCCCGCTCAACCCACCACTGCTTCACCTGCCTCATCACCAGTAGCCTCACATGATACTCGCGAGTTCATGCCACCGAGGGTAAGATATTCCTATACCTCAGCTGATGTGTAAATGCTTAACAGTCATATTCCATTATACAACCTCAATATATGGTATATTAATTTTTCACCATCTTCTACTTTGTACAATAAACAAAAGGTATTGTATAGATATATGTCTCATACACAGATTAACATTACTACTACTGTACTGTATATATCATACACTTCTTTTGAGCCACACTACTGCACCATATATCATACACTTCTCTTGAGCCACACTACTGCACCATATATCATACACTTCTCTTGAGCCACACTACTGCACCATATATCATACACTTCTCTTGAGCCACACTACTGCACCATATATCATACACTTCTCTTGAGCCACACTACTGCACCATATATCATACATTTCTCTTGAGCCACACTACTGCACCATATATCATACACTTCTCTTGAGCCATGCTATTACTTCATATATTATACACAATTACTTTGTATATCTTTATAACATTTCTCCATGTATATTTTTAAGTTGGGTTCAGACAAAATTTAGTATGTCAGTTTAGTGATGTGAACACTCAAGAGGACGGGCTGTATATATAGTCTATTACATGCATTTTAAATCAATAGATAGGAACAAATTATAACTAGTGGGTGACAAAATAAATGATAAAGATATATTTAAACATGATAAATCATGCAAAGCATATGTCAGGGTATAGGGTGGCAAATGAGGGGAATGAAATGATAGTATCAAATATGAAGGAAAATAGGAATGGAGCAAATGAAGGCTAGACGTTTGTCTGTGTTACTTACCTATCGGTGACTAAAGGAAGCAAGCTCTAGCTCTTTATGCCCCACCTACTTACCTTGTTGTACCCGTTGCATTATAATTTTAACTGCAGCTCTTAAAAAGAGATACTTGCTTGATGGTGTTCTGGGAGTTCTTCTATTCCCCCAAGCCTGGTCTGAGGCCAGGCTTGACGTGTGAGAGCTTAGTCCACCAGGCTGTTGCTTGAAGCAGCCCACAGGTTCACATATCCACCACAGCCTGGTTGGTTCAAAATTTCTCCAAGAAAACCAACAAGTTTTCTCTTGAAAACTAGATAGGAGTAGTAATTAGGAGTAATGTGGCAGGAACAAATTGATAGTATAATATCAATATCTTGCAGCATTACTTTGAGTTAAGGGATCTCCTTCTGTATGCAAAATCTCCTTCTGTACATAGCTAATAATCATAAAATGTAGTATTGGTGGTGACATTATTTCATAATAAATAGTGGGTCACCGAGCATCTCTTGATAAACCTCATTTATTAGGGTTTATGTTTATTAATACCAAACTAACCAGCTTTTTCTCACTGTATAGATTATCATGCATGCTGGGGAACAGTGAAAAATATTTTAATTTGCACAATGTCTTTTGCATTTTGCAGACCCCACCACCAAATGCTAGACGAAAAATTGACCAGTTTGGCACAGTTCCCCGCCAAAGAGAGGCTGGAGTGTGTGGAGAAAACAACCATGGAGCACCATCTTCAGGACGATCTAAGGGCGTCATGTTCGGTAAAGGATTTCACTTCCTTCCATTCCGTGTGGCGGGAAAACGGAGCACTTCGGCCCCCAACTTAGGTGACGGTGGTGATCATGCATGAGTGCAACTCTGGAACTCTCCCTCCTCTCCCCCTGGGTCCTCACTTACTGTAGTAGAAAATGATGATAAAATGCAAATTATTTATTACTTGGAGTACGTATTTGGAATTTAAATTATCTTCAGTGACGGTACGTACTTAAATTTGGGATTCTGATCAGCTTCATAGTTTTTAAATGCAAATAAAAACAAATTCAATTCTAGATATAGATAATATAAATATAGAGGGATAGAGTGAGATAGAGAGACAGATGAAGAGAGGTAGATATAGATACTGTAGATATAGAGATATAAATATAGACACTTAGAAATAGAGAGATACGGGTAAAAATATTTGGGTGGTTATAGAAAAGGTTTTGAAACTGTCAACCCTCAGCAACGAATACAAGCAGAAGGAATTTAGTTTTAGAAAGGGTATAAAGAAGTACTGTACTAGGTTTGAAATAGATTTGTCGATAAGTGGCATTGGCTGCCAACTAGTATTAAAGATTCAAACAGCTTACCAGCTTTCAAATATAGATTGGATTGGTATATGAGTGAAAGGGGAGGATTTAAGTGAGACCCCCTCATAACATGGGCCAACAGGCCTACTAATGTGCTCCATAATTCTTATGTTCCTATGTCAGAAATGTAAGGATAATTAGTCCAGATTACTAGATATCCCGTATGTGCTGAACATTTGTGAATATTATCATTATTTTCTACTGCAAAGTCTCTGACAGCTGTTTGTGGTTATGAGATGAATTAAGATTTGAAAGATGACCTTATTTTGTTCTAGATTATGAATACAGATGTTACCTGTGCATATCATACTAGAGCATAAATACTGAAGTATACATCTGTTCTTATGGCTCTAAAGCATAAATACAGAAGTATATATCTGTTCATATGGCTCTAGAGTGTAAATACAGAAGTAAATATCTGTTCATATGGTTCTAGAGCATAAATACAGAAGTATACATCTGTTCATATGGCTCTAGAGCATAAATACAGAAGTATACATCTGTTCATATGACTCTAGAGTGTAAGTACAGAAGTATACATATGTTCATATGGCACTAGAGCATAAATACAGGATGATGCATCTGTTCATCTCTCTTGCATCTCATAATGGCAGCAGGTGTCAGGTGAGCCTGCCAACCAGTACAGCATGAACTGTGTGCAGGTGGCCCAAGAACTGTCAAAGTAATAGAGCCTTTTGTGTTGCATATAACTTGTAAATACCTCTTAAATGACTGCCGTGCTCTCAGTATATTTTCCTCAGCATGAGATATGATAATAACTTGATATAATAAATCTAAAGTTAATGTTAATGTTCTTTCACAAATATTTGAATGCCCTTGACTGAAGCTCCTTCAGCGGTGCAGTTTGCTGTCGTGCAGACACTGCCTCTGTCTCCCAAGTTGTATGTTCCTGTTATACTCACACTACATGAGTTGTTGGCCTTCCTTACATGCTCATATCTCACACACTACTAACATACTTGCATATGTTTTACTTGGCTAACCTTAGCTATATGAAGGCTTAATAGTCCCGGTATTTATGGTCTTTTGAGTTATTTAATCTTCATTCTTTGTAAATTCTTAAATTTACAAAGAATTTTACATGTGTTTGCTGAATAGGTAATGTATTGAGTTTTAACATTATTGTTTTGAGAAAGAGCATCAAATATTTATTGAAAGTGATTTTAAAGTGCAGCTTCCTTATTGCCATTTTCTTTCATATTATCTATAACATGGAACTTAAACTTAATGTTATAACAATGCATCCTGTCTGCCAACAAGTTTGGTATTTTTCCTTGGTGTTGACAATTCGTAGTTACATTCTGATGGAATACTGGCTTTTGTTTATAGTATTTTTCCTTCAGCAATACTTCCTGCCGAAATGTCAGCACTGTGGAGAAATGCCCGACAGATCCCTGGAACATTATATAACACAGTGCAGAGTTACAAACCAAATAAGGTTTCAACTACGATTTAACAGCAGTTGTTGTTAAACACATTGAGCATAATCTTACAGAAATGAATATATAAGTCATAAATACTCATACACCACCTAAGACAGAAACAAGAAACAAGTAACACTTTGTGGGCCAGCCAGATGCTTAGGGCCCATGTAGGAATATCACTGAAAAAATAAAAACAAAATTACTGCCTTTATCTCCTGGTACAATCTCTTTTATGCACTATCCCTTCGTAGATGCTCTTGCAAGACCAGCACCCACTTACCACACAATAGTCACTAGTATGCTGTGTTTAATAGCCTGCATTTATCCTTCACTTTGCAGCATTCTCAGTATGCACCAGAATTTTTGTATTCATCATTTTTCTTGGAAGATGATGTACTAGTTGTGAGAGATAGAGATCAAGGTATGCATTTACTGTTTTATGATATTCACCCTCCATGACTGCTCAGGACCAAGCCGCTATGCATCTATGTTACAGGTATTATTCATGCATGGATTTTTGCATAGAACAATTTTGTGGAAATATCTCAAATCTGCAATGACAAAAATAATGCTTACTTTGTAGTTAGTTCTAGTTTACAGCAGTAATAATATGATAATTGTGCTTCAAAAACTCTATAAGAATAAGCATTTTTCTTGTATATTTATAATGTCCTGATGTTTGCAAGATGCATGTTAGTGTTAATCTATTAAGTGGATTTTATAACGTGACTTGCCTGAAGTTTCCTTGAGATTAATTATGCATGCTGGAAAAACTGGCAAGTTTGAGAAGTTGTACAATAGCCAGGTCAGGTAGATAAATAAAGTAGCATATTGCTTAAGGATATAATGTATACATTGTACAGTTCAGTATATTGAAATGTATTATTACCAAATGACTCCAAAACTCATTGTAGTTAATTATGTTTGTCCTAACAATTATTGAGTAAGGATAACCATCAGATAAATATTTGTGTATTTGCTAATTTTTGTTTAAGTCTTTCTTAGACTTCTTCTTAGACTTCTTTCTTAGACTTTCTTAGACTTTCTTCTTTCTTTCTTTCTTTCTGTCTGTCTGTCTCTCATCCTTTTCTTTCTCTTTCTTTCTCTCTTTCTTTCTTTCGTTCTTTTCTTTCTCTCAAGTAATGCTCATCTACTGGTAATTACCAAATGTCAGATGAATGTGTGGTCAACACCAGCACCACCACCAGGTGGCAGCACAAGTTGTGTACAAGGGAATAGTAATCACTCTCGCCTCGCTTTAAAATCCCGAACCCAGACATGGCACTCAGTAGGCTAGAACAAATGGAGGGCATGTAAGTGCCTGGCTTATAAAGGAGCATTTCATGTACACTCAACGCCTTATTTCTGATCATAGACTGCTTGGTCACTTCGTTAGGCAAGATTAACTACAGTTAGCAGAGACAGAAAACAGAGAAGTGAACTTATGTTTTGTGTTCAAAAGAAGACTCCAGAAGTAGGAGAATTGCAGAAAGGAGGATGCCAAGACCCCAGAGCCTGAATCCTGCCAAAAGATTCAAATGTAAGGGAAGAATGCCTTGTGGCCCATAATAACCCAATGAAAGCAAGGCAGGAAAATGAGTGGCTTTCCAGTGTTCTATTTTCTAGTGTTCTATTTAAAGTACAGTATTTTAAATTTGGAAATCCTCTTGTGTTTAGTATCAAGTCCTTTAATAGTATCCAAGGGTATTGCTTAGTGGGCAGACTGGTAACAGGTTGGTGTAAAGAATTGATGATTGTTCTATCACCAGAACTGAGCAAATAATTGTTGACCATTTACAAAAGTTATAAGGATAGCAGTAAAGCAAGTCATGTGCACAATAAGGGCAAGTCAAGAAATATTACAGGCTCAGGAATATCTTCTTAAAGACCCCCCTCCCCATCACCCTGCAGTCCCCTGATCTGAAAGTTTCCTCCTTGGACTTTCTAAGAGTTCTGTGTGATGACAGCTTGTGGGTCCTTCACTCAAATAAGTTGTGGACCGACGGGTTTTGGCCACCAGCCTTCACAATGGGAAGGAACTCTGGTGTCTGGTGTTGATGTGTGCCTTCATTATTGTGCAGGAATTAGAAGCAGTCTGGACGATGCTTCTGCACATCTTTCTTCTCCTGGGGTAGTGAGTGAGGGTTAGCATAGCCCTGAGGCTAGTGATGGTTTGGATGCCACCTGGTGGCAAGTAGGAAAGAGACCACACGTTGAAAGTTCTGCACTTTTCCAAATTATTTTTCAGAGGGAATTCAGGTGTCTTGTGGCCTTGTTATTTCTTTAGTGCAGTTTACCTAGAATAGTTGAATCTCATAGCTCCCTATCCTCCTCATCCAATAGAGGCAGTAGAAGTAGGTCCCTTGTTCCAGTTTGGTAAAGTCTTTTTGTTACCTGGCATTAGTTAATCTGACTAGTATTATCCCGTGCATAAGCTTAGGGAAGTTCTTAAGACCAAGCCCAGAGAAAGGCATTTCATTATATTCATCACTTAATTTTTTATATTTAATACCAAATACATGGCTGCATTGTGTGTGGACAGTTTTAAATATTAACAGGCTGTAGTGATTGTATAATTTATTTTGTGTCAGCAATGCTGTAATTGTCTTGTATAATTTATTATTATTTCTGAAAAGAATTCAAGACAGTTTTGTGATTTCTACAGCGGAGACTGAAATGCAGATGATCGATGACCTTTCCGAAGGAGATTACTACCCACAGGTGGATGGGGTGGTACAGTCTGCATCATCATCTCCACGGTGCAATACCCTCACTGGCCATAGGTCTCCACCCACACACCCCAAGGCAACAGGCATCAAAAAAATATTTACCAGGTTAGTAAATCTGGTAAAAATTTGTCATCATTATTATTGCTTGAATGGGAGGAATCTGTCTGGAAACAGTGGATAAGCTTTATATGAAAGATTGTTAAGCATAGTAAGAATGCTTACTATTCTTACTATGTACAAACAAGTACAGTAACAAATTGTGAAAACAGATATACGGTGCACTGTATTAAGTTGTTAAAATGTAGCTATTTACTGTATCATGACCAGATGAGTCACAACTAGATAGCTACATATTCCGTGGAAGGTTTTTACGACCCTAATCTTCCATTCACCCAAATTCACATCTCATAGGTTCATACCTATGTACAGAATTTGGAAGCCCCAATAATCCAATATGAATTCAGAAATACTGTATTTCAGATTTCAGTTCTTACCTTTACTGTATGTTATTAGGAATGTTAGAGTTAAGGTTAGGAATTTGAATGGGTTGACCATAATTTAGTGCCTGAATATAAGAGGGAGTCATGTAAAATGTAAATTGGGGTTGAGATTATCGTCCGCAGCCTGTGTGGAGACTTCTGAAACTCTGGATCTGACTTTTATGTGATTGTGGTACAAGGGTTAATATGCGGGACTGACATCCTGCATATGTGTATGTGTAAATCACGAAGAAATGAACATGTGATGAACAATGTGATAGTGTCAGACCACGAAGGAAAGATTAAGACAAGAATTTCCTTAAGTACTTTCATATTTAATAATATATCTTCAGAAGGATACCTCTTCATCCTTCTGAAAATGTGTATATGAATGTGGTGGAGGTTGACTCCATACACAGTTTCAAATGTAGATATGATAGAGCCCAGTAGGCTCAGGAATCTGTACACCAGTTGATTGACAGTCGAGAGGCGGGACCAAAGAGCCAAAGCTCAACCCCCGCAAGCACAATTAGGTGAGTATATGTTGATACCTAGTTTTCTTTACCGTTAGTGAGATATAGCTGATATTTTTAGTTTTACCTGATGCATTACTTCTGGTATTATTACATTTGTGCAGGTTGCGTCGTAGCAGTTCTGGTCATCTTGACAGTGACCTGGGGGAAGGAGATTTCAGACGAGGAGGAATGAGAGCCACTGCTTCTGCCCGCCTTGGCTGGACATCTCCTACAACCTCTTTTAAAGAGTAAGTTTTCCATTTGTAGATTTAATCTTGAAAATGTAAAATATATGCAAGTTTGAATATTCTGGAGTAGACAGGCTGGCTTTGGCAGCCCAGGAAATACAGCTTTAGTGGCAGTCAAGTGTGTATCTTTTCTATCACTGATGGTTCTTTAATAAGGTTATAGAAAAGCCAGCTACAGTAGCTAAGGTAGTGAAGAGTAAGATTTAATTTCATCAGGAGTTTAACAATAAAGAAATAGATTTGGTAATGAAGGAACCTCATGGGGCCCACAGGCCATAGGTAATCATTACTTCCCACTCTCATTGGGTACTGCTTACTGTTTCATACTCCTAAACTAGATGCTTCTTAGTTTTATGATATCTGTGTGACTTAAATTATAATGCAGGTTGAATTGGAAGTGACATTTGTCAGCGAACCTTTATTAGCAATTCAGGGTTTCCGTAGGCCAACTTCCTGTAGCATGTAAGCATAATTTCTCATCTGAGTCTTCATCACATTCATGCTGAACCACATAAATATGTTTACCAAATTTCATTCTTATATTTCATTGATTTTGTTTCCAGGCCAAATGAAGCCTTTACTGGATGGAGCATAGAGACTATAGAAGCATGGTTTGGTGCTCTTGGACTGAGTCAGTATTGTTCAGGTGTTCGTGCTTGGTCGTCATCTGGACACCATTTGTCTAGAGCTACACAACAACAACTGGAACGAGAGCTTGGCATTCGCCATCCGCTACATCGAAAAAAATTACAATTAGCAATTGCGGCAAGACTGTCTGGGGACCAAATTAATACTCCATTAGCTCGATTAGACCATTCCTGGGTATTGCGGTGGCTGGATGATGTGGGTTTACCTCAGTATAAAGATTCCTTTAGTGAAGCTCGCATTGATGGTAGAGTTCTCAACTGCTTGACATACGATGACTTGTCTTTCCTCCGTCTCTCTAACCTCTTACATGTCACATCTTTAAAGCGAGGTATTCAGGTTAGTACATAAGTGTTGTTATTATTACAAATATGTGTAAAAAATATTTATATATATATTATACTGTATATCAGAGAGAGCTTCTCTCATGAAAGGTTCAAACCTTAGACTGACAAGGGTAATGAACACCTTGACAAGTCCAGTACTCTGTACTCTGACCAAATGGCTACCAGACTGTTAAGACATTGGTAGCCATAGCTGTTTACATTCAATGTCCCAACAGCAATTCAGTAGCCACAGACCAGGAGTTCGTTTTCATTGACACAATTCACTTATATGAATTGGTCAGAGTACTGGACGTGTCAAAGTATTCATTACCCTATACAGTACAGTACATATATGTATATATTAAACAATCAAAATAACATTACACAACATTTGATTCTAAAAATTTTAAATTAATTTTATAGGTGTTACGAGAGCACAACTTTGATCCTTCTGTGCTGAAACGTCGTTCAGTGCCAGATGAGGGTCAGAGAATTAGAACAGCGGCTGAAGTTGCCCTTTGGACAAATCACCGGGTCATGGAATGGCTACGAACCGTTGACCTCTCTGAATATGCTCCCAATCTAAGAGGCTCAGGTTAGTTGAATGTACTGTAGGTGTTACTGTACATTGTTATGTATTGAAGCTATTCTGAGCTCTGAGAGTTGGCTGATTCCTGTAGTTAAAATACCACTGTGTCCTTGGACGTGCATTGTGTTATTAGGCAGATGCGACATGCACAGTAGGGCTTTTGTAAGCATCTCTTGGGGAAGATATAATGACTTTGGTATTCCACCCCACCTACTGGACAGGAATGGGTTACAGAGTACTTGATAAAGAGAAAATAGGCCATAGTGATGGGAGAAATGTCATTGTTCATGAAGTATATGGATTACTATCCTGACAGGTAAAGTCTTACATAATAATATTTGCAAATGATACAGAACTGATAAAAAGCATAAGGGGTGAGTGAGATTGCACAATACTACAGGAAGACCTAAGTAAACAACAAATCTGGGCAGGTAAATGCTTAGTAGAGTTCAGTTTCAACAAGTGTAAAGTTATGAGATTTGGGTGAAGGGAAGAAGAGTTCGGGAAGGACAGTGCAGTATATGAAACTGGCTTGAAATGTGAAGATAAATTTGAGTGATGAGAGTTCAGAAGTAAAGTGTTTAGGAGTTAGATAAAAGTGACTGAAGAAATTGAAGGTTACTCAACATTTTAATAGAACAAAGCAGGGAAGTATACATATTAAATGTCTTGTCAATATTGAAGAGGAAATAAAGAGAAGTTCCTGGAGTTAAGGAGTTGCCAGAGATATAAATAAACTGATAGAGAATTTTACTATGATTATATACAAGAAAAAAAAGATGATTATTCTTTTTGTCAATCAGGAGTTCATGGAGCACTAATGGTTTATGAAGTCCGCTTCACATCTGAGCTTCTTGCATCACTCCTTTCAATACCTTGTGGTAAAACACTCCTAAGACGACACCTCAACACACATTTCAAGGAGTTGGTTGGGCGTTCTGTAGTCCAGGAAAAGAGAGAATTAGAAGCTGCATCTGGGTACACTCCTCTAACCACCTCAGCTAAAGTCAAGGTTAGTTTCAAGATTTTCTTTGTAATTGATTTCTGTATATTTTTTAGTGGTTTCTGGTTATATCTTAAGCTCCGAAGAAGATTACTCTATAAATTATTCACATCTTTAATATAGTTTTCTTTATTTTGTGTACAAGAAATTCTCCTTAGTTGTTGTTTAATAATAATTTCCTTAAAACCTACCAAAAATTTTTTGTTTACGATGTGTGATGCCGTAAGAATATGGTAAAGTACTTTCTGCATTAATTTCAGATGCCCAAAAAATCCCAGTTTTCTCTCAAGCGCAAGAAATCTAAGTCTGACTTGGAATTTGACGACTTGCTGTGCCCTCTTGATGAGAAACCTCCAGTTGGTGCTCTGCAGGACAAGGACAAGGAGGTGAGGACAAGGATAATAGAGAAGATAAGTTGTGTGATGATAGAGAAGGATTTGGAGAAGTAAGTAAGTAGAGAGGTGGTGAATGAGGTAAGAGGAAGATGGTGGTAAGATTATAGATACATTTATGGGGGACCTTTGTGCAAGATTGCCAAAATGAAATGGTGATGGAATTAAAATAATTTTTGTGCAGTGTTTTAGGAAATAGTAAAATCTTTAAAGAGAAACCAAGTGAAGAAGAAGACTAAAGAATGTTTTGAAATATTATGACTTGGTAAAAAAAAGTTTGGTGGAAGGTATATTATTTATACCTTCCGTAAATACTATGGAATTTTATTTATAGTCTGTACAGAAAAGAAAAACTAATTAAAGATAAATATTTAAGAAATACTTATTAATAAACACTTTTGTTCGGTAACGATGCAGAATTGCGTCGTCCATTTAGTAGACGAATGTCCAGTAACGATGCAGCATTGCGTGTTCAGTTAATATATTTGCTAAAAATCGGGGTTTTATCCGATTTTTGGGGGACTGATTTTAAACTGCGCGACAACGTCTTCCCATTTTCCTTGCTAGGTCATGTGGCACCCAGGTGGTGCAACCCACGCCGTAGGCCCATTGTTTTTGCTCCACCGTCGTGACCGGTCTTGCCTTCCCTTGTGTCGCAAACGTGTGAACATTTCGCCTATTTTCCGTGGCTATATTTCTTAGGTGCGGCTTTAGATACAGTACTATCTGCGCTTACTCCACGATGGATAGTGATCCAGAACAGAACCATTCTAGGAAGAAATCAGCGAAAGAAACGTGCCAGAAAGAGAAGCTAAGTACTGTACAGTACTGGTACTTGCAAGTTTGCTTCCCTGCTCTGAACATTGAAGTACTGTACAGTATTTTTCTGGTTTCCATATCTTAACAGGTTTTTGAGGTTTTCATTATTAAAGTCTGGATTTTTGAGGTTACACTTCATGTTTTACTTTATTATGGAATAGGTATTTATGGAATAGCATATATTATGGGATGACACGATACTATATTTTGTCCCTACCATTTAGCCATGCCTTTTGAGCTAAACTAATTTTAGTAAGGCATGGTTATTATAGATAATTTTGGTTAGATTAAGTTGGAAATTGGAACAATTTCACCTTAAACTTGTCATTCATCAGGTGATGCAAAAGTTTGCATGGGATGAATGGAGTCTTCCCCCACATATATCATACAAGCAAGGTTCTACCGTATTCTGCCTCAAGCTATTTGTTCTATCTTGTTTGTTTCTTTCAGTATACATACTACCAAGTACTTTAAATTATAATTTTCTTTATAGTGTAAATATAAGCATGTCAAAAAACTTTTAATTTGGAATGAAATTATCTCTTATGAAAATAGTAAATATAGTTTTCTTCTAGACTGCATGTTTATTGTACAGTGCAATCCAAGACAAAGTTGGTTTCTTGAAGTCAGTCTTGTAGACTGGTTTCTTGATAAAGCCATCCTGGATGGTTGAGTAAATATTGAGGCCATACAATGGTACTGAACCTGTACCTCCTGGACTGCCATGGCACAGGTGGTACTGACTCGACCAGAGACGTGGGTTCACTCACATTGTACGGCCTCCATATTTACTCATAGATACATCACGTTCTTGTACTTTCCCTGTGCCTCCATGGTTATCTTTTCTGGAAATATTAATTTAAAATTGCTGAAAATATTGTCATTAAATTAAAGATAAATGTACTACTATATATATATAGTAGTACACAAAGTGTGTGTGTGTTTTTATATATATATATATATATATATATATATATATATATATATATATATATATATATATATATATATATATATATATATATATATATATATATATGTATGTCGTACCTAGTAGCCAGAACGCACTTGTCAGCCTACTATGCAAGGCTCGATTTGCCTAATAAGCCAAGTTTTCATGAATTAATTATTTTTCGACTACCTAACCTACCTAACCTAACCTAACCTAACTTTTTCGGCCACCTAACCTAACCTAACCTTTTAAGATAGGTTAGGTTAGGTTAGGTAGGGTTGGTTAGGTTCAGTCACATATCTACGTTAATTTTAACTCCAATAAAAAAAAATTGACCTCATACGTAATGAAATGGGTAGCTTTATCATTTCATAAGAAAAAAATTAGAGAAAATATATTAATTCAGGAAAACTTGGCTTATTAGGCAAATTGGGCCTTGTATAGTTGGCTGAGAAGTGCGTTCTGGCTACTAGGTACGACATATATATGTATGTATGTATGTATGTATATATATATATATACATATATATATATATGTATATATATATATATGTATATATATATATGTATATATATATATGTATATATATATGTATATATATATGTATATATATATATATATATATATATATGTATATATATATGTATATATATATATGTATATATATATATGTATATATATATATGTATATATATATATATATATATATATATATATATATATATATATATATATATATATATATATATATATATATATATATATATATAATAAAAATCAGAATTCTACTCTTAATAGATATACAGTATATTGTATAAAACTTGGAATGGTTTTAGTGTAGCATGAAAACCTTTGTAACTACAAGATTTTCAACATAACTGGATGCTGGATGTCTATTAATTAAAAAAGTACAGTATAACTCCATGCCAAGTCATAAAAATATACATTTTTACTTACAAAATATATTCTATTTCACTTTTCTGTATTGAGCCCCTCCTGCTCCCCGGAGCTATTCCGGGCTGATGTGCATATATTACACTGTGGCATCAGTCAATTCGATTGGAGTTCTAAACTACTGGGAACCATGAGCCAGAACCTGGCCTTTTCCTCCTCAGAGAGGTTCGAGGAGCAATGGCCTATAGAAACCCCCATGTGGTTGGAAGCATTGTGTGTGTGCCATCTACTGAGTTAGGCACGTAGAAAGGTAGGCGTCCCAAGACAGACTCCACCTGGTGAAAATTGCTACCAAAAACCGAACTATCAAGGAGAACTCCACAAGCTAAAAACAAGCAAAAATAAATAAATAAATTATGTTAAATAAATTAAGAACACATTTAATAGCCATATACAGTATTGTATAGCACTTAATGTCACAACAGTACTTGATTATTTTGACAAAGGTTGCACAATCATAATCTTGCATGATGTTCATAGTTATACTGTATGAGTATTGTACTGTGTAGTACAGCACGTTAAACCGGTTTTGTTGAATGTATACTGTTTGATACAGTTAGGTGGTGCATTTTTGAGCCTGTTGTTGTGTGCTGTGATGAATGTAACCTGTGTTGTGTTCGTGTGCACTATATCATGCTGTGCCTCTTTGCTTTCACGTGTGGCTAACCATTTTCTCTTCTCCATGGCACTGCTTCCCACAGACCAATGGTGACGGCAGGCTTTGTTGAGGTAAATATACCTACACTTATTGCCAATTTAGACAAAAAAAATATATATGAGCTTACCATCCTTTTGTATATGCATTTTTTCTTGTGACTTTTGTTTAAATCATGGCAAGTCATATAAGCCATGTAATCAGATTGCCAGTTTGCTTCTGTTAGGTGTTACAGTACCTACAAATACCTGTACTAATTACTGTAATTTATTGATCTTGTCATGCATCTACAAGGTAGTTATTTAGTTTGTTTTTTTCAAAATCTTATAAACATTAAGAATACTTATGAATAATAATAATGTTGGGAATATTGACATGACAAGTATTAACATTTCTTGTTACTACTGTAGCGTCTCCAGCGAGCGTCCGCTCCACCAGTGATTGGCCGCATCACCAAGGTGTAGTTGGAAGACTCTACTGGTTGTCAGACTTCTCTACTAGTCTGACCAGTCTACAGCTCTCACTTCTGCCTGCGTCCAGTGCCTCTTTATTGACATGTGAGCCAGTGTACATTCATCTAAGTCAGGGATTTGAACTTTCATTTTCTGTAGTTACGAGTTACAATTTTCTTTAGTGATTACCAAAAATTATTAATTTTAATAGTGGCATATTTTAAGATACTGTTCCATTTATTATCTCAAATAATAATCTTAGTTAACAATATACTGTACTGAAATATTATTTGAGAGATGCAAGAGACAATCTGTACAAGAACATATTCCTACTAGAAATACCATTTCTTGTATTCTGAAATGGACTGACTTCCATGAATGAACTTTCAGGCTTACCAACCTCATATGTGCCTTATTGTTATGTTACCATTGATGAAATGCCATTCCATTCCGGCAGTTTGGAGGCATGGCAGATTTTCACTACCATGTGCACTTGTTCTTGACATCTCTGCAATTCCTCCACAAAAAATCTATGAAAGATGTGACATAATTGTTTATTGTTCCTAAATAGTTCCAGCTTATGGTTAAAAGAAGTCATACTTGTCAGACAGTGAAGTGGTCTACTGAATTTGGCCATTGCTCAAATTAAAATTTCATGTTGATAAAATTCCATACGAAGTGATCATGTATAACTGCAAAATTAAAAAAGATATCGTATATTAAGTTTAAGAAAAAATGAGCTGATTTTGTTTGTTTGAGCTTGAGATTGCAGTGAAAAGGATCTTTTAAATTATAATAAAAATATGTCAGATCTCATTAGAGAAAGGTTATTTACATAGCTTGATCAAAAAGTAATTTAACTTGCCTTGGATGATATATGATCCTTGTACACATTGTTCAAAACAAAATGATACCTGGTTTCTTTAAGGAAATACATAAGTTTTAATTTAAGTTTTAATTTAAGGGAAATGTCTGAGTCATATTAATCTTGCCAAGTTTCTTTAGTAATCAATTTATTAATATTTGACTTTTTTGACTGTTATTAAATACATGTATTAAAAAAAATTTATGCTGCAGATAAGTTGAGAGTCAGACATTGGCCTTTATTATGTAATTTGTGCAGCTACATGCATCAGGGACAGCTAAATTGAAGCTTTAATGTAGGTGAATGACTGAGCTTGCCAAGTATTGTACACGATGATGGGGGTACATGTACACTGTGTTGAAGCTGGTGAACAGGAAATGTTCAGCAAAGTGCCAATATTGGTTTTAAATATTGTATTTACTGCTTATGATAGGTAGTCAGTACATTAGAGAGAGAGAACAGTCTTTGTATAGATTTTTAAAATAAGATTTATATATGATTATTTCTAGTTCTGAAGTGATAACTTTCCACACCAAACGTAATTGGCAGCATAAGAAGGAATACAGATATTAAATGACTAAAGCTTGTTTTCTACCTTAAATATCTTAATGAATTCCTTTATTTTAATTTTAATTTACATTGCCATCATGTAAACAACAAATACAAACTTGTCTTAGGGAGGATGTAAGGATTTGGTACAAGTTTTATTTCTCTTAAATATTTTGCTACTTATTGCTTGGTACTCAAGTTACCAGTATACTGTATACTGTTGCATTGCCTTTCATTATAAGTAGATTACAGAAGAGTCAACAGTCAGGAACTGTCGGTGTTTTTCTGTGCCAGTTGAAGCTTTTGGATGTATTTTATTGTTTGATTTATAAAAAAAAAAAAGAGTTCATTGTACAGTAATTAAAAAACCAGACCAAGCCACATTTGTGCTCCAGTGCACACCATGCAGAGAAAGTGACTGATTAGTTGTTATATTAATAGTATAATATTAATTCATTGATTTAACACCATGACTAACAGGTTATATGGTATCACACATTACACTATGGTGGCGAGAGGAAACACCTTCCCAACCTCCTAGTCACTGCTCCCGCCCGACACCTGGCAAGTGTCGAGCAATACGCTCGGCATCACTAAATTGTTTTCTCTTTTTTTTTTTTTTTGGAAGTGTAAAAATCTTTACATTTTAATCCATAATTTTTGTTTAATGTATTCATAAATAATTGGAGCATAATATATTATTAGATAATTTTGTAATTTGTGTATAAAATCATTCACAGTAATTCAAAAAGGAAAAGCAAACATTTTGCTATTCAGGATGATGAAACTTGCTTCATTTTACTTTATGATTAAATTCTATTGTAACATTGATTTATTGTTCCACTTCACTAATTATTTTGGCTTGTTATGTATCTTTATAAAGTTCTCCAGCCAGTACTGATCATGCTGTTTAAACTCATTATCTGGGGATGATTTCTAAGAGGTTTTTATTAAAATCACTAAATCATTCACACTGGTTTTATTTCCTGGGCCCATAGTGAGAACTTTTCCCCCAGTCTTCCTACCCTCAACTGTGTAACTTGACATGCTATTAGCAATGTAATTAATGATGACCAAAATAGTTACCATTGTTGAGAACAGGAAGGCTATTATTGTTCCTGGGTAATAAGTTTTATTTTCTGATGGCTTATGTGTCCAGAGTATAGATGCTATTTATTCTATTTAAACTTTGCTTTGATCTTTTCCAAAGATAGCTTAGAGAAGATGTCTTGAAAGTACAATACAACCTGAATTTGGCAAATCTCTTATTACAACATTTTGGAGGATGAATTTACCTGCCATCTTTGTTCAACTAGTGTTCAGCAGAGCAGATATGTAGACGTGCTTAGAATGCAGGGTCAGAGTTCACAGACCTCTTCAAAAGTCTATGTGCCTATGGTTATTTATCCCAATTTGGGGTCATGGCTCTGACTAAAATTCTAAATTTAAGGGGCTTGATTCTGAGAAATACTGTATAAGTTCACTTACCCAAAGCCCATTTTTCCGAATCTTTGGGTTATCTGGCAAGTGTTTCAGAAATGCTGGTGAAAATTTTGAAAGACAGAATGTGGTTGAATGGCTAGAAAGAGATGTCAATGTCCCAGGATTTGTTGTGATGAGCGAAGAAGAGATTCTCCAGTCTGTTACTGGTGAGGTGGATGAAGAGGAGGAGGACCAAGATGGTGATGAAGAACCAATACTACAGACAACAAAATACAGTTTACTCATGTCAAGAACCTTCAACCAGTGATGCCTCACAAGCAAGCCAAGTACCTTCAACCAGTGAGGCTTCACAAGCAAGTCAAGAACCTTCAACCAGTGAGGCCTCACAAGCAAGCCAAGGGCCTTCAACCAGTGATGCCTCACAAACAAGCCAAGGGCCTTCAACCAGTGAGGCTTCAGCAGCTACCAGTCAAAACTGACCTTGCCAAGCTCATGTACTTTACAGTAATTTTAAGTGTTAATTTTAGTGTTGTTAGGTTATGTAAATTTTCAAAAAATTTTAACTTCAAGATATGTAACATTAATCAAGATGATGAACTACAATAAGGTAAGCTGAAGTTTCTGTTTAAAATTAATTATAGTACTGTATTTGAATATTTTATAATTACTGTATAGTCTGTGTGTGGCAATTCAAATTATGACAGGACAATTGTTGTCCTGTCTGTATGTATGTTGCCTGTATGTCTGCTTTGAGAAGCGCAAGGTTCTCATTACCCCTCTTACTGATAGATGTGTGAGATAACTGGATGGTTGAGTGGAGAAGTTTGGAAATCTGTGACAGGTATTTTAAATGTGATGCAGGTGGAAACATTATTACTTAACCAATCACTATACAGTGAGTAAGTTGGTGTCTTAGTAAAAATTGCTGGCCTCTTGGAAGCACAAAACAATTTATCTCTGAATAATGCTGGAGATGTCGTCTTAGTAACCTGTATATCAATAAGTAAACAATATCAATACATATTTAAACACCTGGAAATAGTTTCAATGGGAATTGAAGTACTGATGATGATTATCCATAACCAAAATATGTATATTACAGTATAATGTATGCAAGCTGAGAATAAGAAATTCTTATTAAATCAGCTAGCATATATGCATTAGGGTCTAGATGGTTCTAGTGAATCAGCTAGATAATTGACTTAAGGCCACCATCGCAGGAAGGCGTATAATTCAATCCCCCACCCTCCCCTCTCCCCATCCCACAATTATTCCTTCAGATTTTTTTCCAACCGAACTTAGAACTGAAATACAGGCACCTCTAAAATTCAGATTATGTACCATTCTAGACCCAATCTGAATTTGAGTGAAATTTGGATATCTGGAAATTTATCATTTTTGTACCTACCACCAAATTTTCAATATTTATCATAAAATTTTGAAAATGAATATGAACTAAAGAAATTTGTTTTAATAGAGTATTGTCTTGGCATTTAGTATGTAGCCAAAAGCTTGGAAGTAATAGTGGTGTCTGTTACTATCAGATAATTTTTTTTTTTTTATTTATTTATACAGTACAGTACAAGAGTTCTTACATTCTTGTAAAGCCACTAGCACCCATAGCGTTTCGAGCAGATCCTTGATCCTAATTTTTTCCCCGAATACGACCCGCCAAATTGTTTAACAACCAGGTATCTATTTACTGCTGGGTGAACAAAGGCTATAGTTAAGGATTGGCACCCAGTCAATCGTTCCTGGTTAGGATAGAAACCCAGGCCAAAGCGCTCACGAAGCGCCAGGCGAGTGTTTTACTACTGTTCCACGGGAACTGCAAATGTATTGGCAGGTCTTGGGAATGGGGATCAATGCAGTGGAATACTACAATATTGTCTGTGTTGAACCAGTAGATAACTGAGGCAACAAGATACTGTAAATGATGATAATCATGATATGAACAAAGGGCTAATCAGGAACATTGTATCTTGCTCTCAGATACTACAGTACTTTGACTATAAGCTCATTAGCTATCTCAAATATTTGTAGCCATAGTGGTTAGACCAGTTAGTTGACAACCATAAGGACCCGGGTTTGATTCCCGTGGCAGGACAGTGAAGTGCATTTGGGCAACTTTCTTTTCAGTTAATGCCTCTGTTCCCTACCAGTAGGAAACAAAGCCCCCCCTCCCCTAGGGACTACAATATGCCTAGCAGTATACACAGAAATCACAATAGCGTAATATATCAAATGAACAAATGCCTAGGTTTTCTGTCCCTGACTATGGGTAGTGGGGAAACTACCTACTGTAATTAACACCCACCAACACTAGCTCACCCCACCATGAGTAGAAGCATTGAATATGCCAAAAACTTGAAGATTGAAGAAAAAGAGGCGATATGATCACTATGTACAAAATAGTAACGGGAATCAATGAATTGATAGGAAAGAATTCCTGAGACCTGGAACTTCAAGAACAAGAGGTCATATATTTAAATTAACTAGACAAAGCTGCCGAAGAAATATAAGAAAATTTGCTTTTGCAGACAGACGGTTGGAACAAGTCAGTAGTTTTAAATCATTATATGACAGAGTACTGGGAAGACGGGACACTACGAGCATAGCTCTCATCCTGTAACTACACTTAGGTAATTATCATCACTGACACCTGCCCACCGCACTACTCGCCCATCCAACCCCCTGGCAACAAACACTTGGACTGTGTTTGCTAGTTACTGCGGGGACATTGATTCCTGGAGCCAGCACAAGGTAGATCACTTAGCCTTGGGCGCATTTCTATTGATCTCCCACAGTAGTCGCCCTAGGTTACTCCCACTTGTCCCAGGCCACCCACATTAACTACCGCCCACCATTACTAACACCCACCCACCCACACTAACTACCACATACCAAGTTCAAATTCAAGTATGTTTATTGAGACAAGAAAAAAAATACATCTCAAAGGGATAGAGTAGCTTAGGCTATTTCTACCCCCCTCTACTTCAAGTCCCTCAAGGGGCGCACAAATTCAGTGAGTAAATATACACAAATCACAATACAAGAATCCCATTTAACATTGCAGGTTAATATAGTAAGCACAGCATATAAGTGCTACACTCTTGGGGCAAAATTCTTGTATTTTCTAAGTATTCTGTCTATCATACCATTATCACACATCCAAACAATTTGATGTAGTACACTACTTATTTCCTTATTTCTATAGTTGTCAATAAGTTGACAAGACCAATACATAATGTTCTAAGGTGTGGGCGTGCGGCATACTACATAATTTACACTCCTTATCTTTTTCACTGACATCAACACCGTATTGCCAGATATATTTGTATCCTAATCTTAATCTCATGTAAATTGAATCCTTCCAAGTAGACTTTCCTCTACCTTAGGTGAAGGACGATTTTGTATTTATTATTGAATAATTAAATAATAAGTGTGTTACTGCTGTCCACCATTGCCATTCTCTTCACCATTTCTTCACCCTCTTGGATCATCTTGATTCTTGTTTTTATTTGTTTCAAGATTATCTGACATATCGCCTACCATCCCACTCCGACCAATTCTCAGAGGAATTGACAGGGGTGGACAAAAACAAACTATTTAATATGGGTGAAAACTTAGTACCCAAATGAGCCACAGAGACCTTAGATAGATTTTTTAGTCAGAGTAGTTAACAAATGGAATGTATTAGGCAGTGATGTGGTGGAGGCCGACTCCATACACAGTTTCAAATGTAGATATGTAGCCCAGTAGGCCCAGGAATCTGTACACCAGTTGGTTGACAGTTGAGAGGCGGGACCAGAGTCAAAGCTCAACCCCCGCAAGCACAAAGACCATCACTAACCCGTTCACACTACACCTGTCCATCATTACTAACATAGCGTTTCGGGCAGGTCCTTAATCCTATGTTCTCAGGAATACGACTCTACTAAATCGTTTAACAACCAGGTACCCATTTTACTGTTGGGTAACCAGAGGTTACAGTTAAGGATTGACGCCCAGTAAATCCTCCCCGGCCAGGATACGAACCCAGGACAAAGTGCTCGCGAAACGTCAGGCGAGTAGTTTCACGAGTGTTTCGCGAACTACACCATGGGAACACTTGTAGAGAGGAGACCTCTTATAGGTTGTACCACTAGCCAAGGGCGAGGATGTTTCCCCCCTAGTCAATGCCGAAGCTGTCCCCATTGGTCAAGGGCGAGGTTGTTCCCCTAGCCAAGGGCAAGGTTTGTTCTAGCCAAGGGCAAGGTTGCTTGTCCCCTAGCCAAGGGCAAGGTTGTTCCCACTAGTCAAGGGTGAGGCTGTCCATGCGGTCATCCATGCAGTTATTGGCCAAATCTAGCGATGTTTAACCCTGACCCGTCCTAATATTGCACATATCATTCACTGCAACATTCCCAGGCAGCACACATGTGGATCTTTACTTACACTACACACAGAAATCATAATTGCGTGATGCATCAAATTAACAAATCCACCAGATTTATAACAAACCAGAGGTTGAGAGACCTTAATAACCCACCAGAGGTTGATAGACCTTAATAACCCACCAGAGGTTGACACACCTTAATAACCCACCAGAGGTTGACACACCTTAACCCACCAGAGGTTGACACACCTTAATAACCCACCAGAGGTTGATACACCTTAATAACCCACCAGAGGTTGACACACCTTAATAACCCACCAGAGGTTGATACACCTTAATAACCCACCAGAGGTTGACACACCTTAATAACCCCTCAGAAGTTGAAAGGCTCTTAGACTCAGCCCCAAACATACCCAAGAGGGTGCACGTCACAACCTTGAGGCCCCACAACATGCTGGAGCACGAGCGGCGCGCCCTGGCTGGGCCGCCTCTCGCGCCTCAGATAAAAGGGTCCGCGGGTCCTGGCCCCCACCAGTGACAGGCTCGCCCCAGCAGACGTAGTATCACGCTGCTACTCCAGTCTTGCCTGCCAGTGGCCCTCATCAACACCCACCGCCCTACCACAGCACTTTCAGAAGAGGTAATGAGAACGTGTATGTTGTAATATACATTTAGTTATTAATTTATCGCAATACTCTTCATCATATTCTACTGTAATAAAGTTTAACTACTTTTTTTTAAGCTTAGGCACACACACACACTATATATATATATATATATATATATATATATATATATATATATATATATATATATATATATATATATATATATATATATATATATATATATATATATATATATATATATATATATATATATGTCGTACCTAGTAGCCAGAACGCACTTCTCAGCCTACTATGCAAGGCCCGATTTGCCTAATAAGCCAAGTTTTCCTGAAGTAATATATTTTCTCTAATTTTTTTCTTATGAAATGATAAAGCTACTCATTTCATTATGTATGAGGTCAATTTTTTTTATTGGAGTTAAAATTAACGAAGATATGTGACCGAACCCAACCAACCCTACCTAACCTAACCTAACTTATCTCTATAGGTTAGGTAGCCGAAAAAGTTAGGTTAGGTTAGGTTAGGTAGGTTAGGTAGTCGAAAAACAATTCATGAAAACTTGGCTTATTAGGCAAATTGGGCCTTGCGTAGTAGGCTGAGAAGTGCGTTCTGGCTACTAGGTACGACATATATATATATATATATATATATATATATATATATATATATATGTCGTACCTAATAGCCAGAACGCACTTCTCAGCCTACTATTCAAGGCCCGATTTGCCTAATAAGCCAAGTTTTCATGAATTAATGTTTTTTCGTCTACCTAACCTACCTAACCTAACCTAACCTAGCTTTTTTTGGCTACCTAACCTAACCTTACCTATATATATAGGTTAGGTTAGGTTAGGTAGGGTTGGTTAGGTTCGGTCATATATCTACGTTAATTTTAACTCCAATAAAAAAAAATTGACCTCATACATAGAGAAAAGGGTTGCCTTATCATTTCATAAGAAAAAAATTATAGTAAATATATTAATTTAGGAAAACTTGGCTTATTAGGCAAATCGGGCCTTGAATAGTAGGCTGAGAAGTGAGTTCTGGCTACTAGGTACGACATATATATATATATATATATATATATGTCGTACCTAATAGCCAGAACGCACTTCTCAGCCTACTATTCAAGGCCCGATTTGCCTAATAAGCCAAGTTTTCATGAATTAATGTTTTTTCGTCTACCTAACCTACCTAACCTAACCTAACCTAGCTTTTTTTGGCTACCTAACCTAACCTTACCTATAAATATAGGTTAGGTTAGGTTAGGTAGGGTTGGTTAGGTTCGGTCATATATCTACGTTAATTTTAACTCCAATAAAAAAAAAATTGACCTCATACATAGAGAAAAGGGTTGCTTTATCATTTCATAATACAAAAATTATAGTAAATATATTAATTCAGGAAAACTTGGCTTATTAGGCAAATCGGGCCATGAATAGTAGGCTGAGAAGTGAGTTCTGGCTACTAGGTACGACATATATATATATATATATATATATATATATATATATGTCGTACCTAGTAGCCAGAACACACTTCTCAGCCTACTATGCAAGGCCCGATTTGCCTAATAAGCCAAGTTTTCCTGAATTAATATATTTTCTCTAATTTTTTTCTTATGAAATGATAAAGCTACTCATTTCATTATGTATGAGGTCAATTTTTTTTTATTGGAGTTAAAGTTTACGTAGATATATGACCGAACCTAAACAACCCTACCTAACCTAACCTAACCTATCTTTATAGGTTAGGTTAGGTTAGGTAGCCGAAAAAGGTAGGTTAGGTTAGATAGACGAAAAACAATTAATTCATGAAAACTTGACTTATTAGGCAAATCGGGGCTTGCATATTAGGCTGAGAAGTGCGTTCTGGCTACTAGGTACGACATATATATATATATATATATATATATATATATATATATATATATATATATATATATATATATATATATATATATATATATATACATATATATATATATTTATGTGTGTCTCGTACCTAACGAGCCTAATTTTCCTGAAATATTATATTTGTCAGTTTTTTGGAATGGAATGATAAAACTTTACATTAGGCTATAATTGATTAGAATTTTTCTTTCGGTCAAAACTAACAAATTTGATTAAATCTCCGTAACTTAATTAACCTGCCCAAACATCAAAAACAATTCATGTTCCTAATATAATATATTAATATTGTTAGGAAGGAACCAGTTTGGAAAGGAATATTTGAAAATAATAAAAATCGCTCGGCCTGTTAGACAGATTGGGCCTTTGCCTATTGAAGGGACGCCATAATTAATTATGTCGCCCCTCATTCTTCGTATTTCAAGAAGATAATGTAAATTAATTTCGTAATCTGCACCTGAAATCTGATAGTTGAGTGGACAGCATTCTGGACTCGTATTCCTAAGGTCCGGGTTCGATTCCCGGTAATGGCAGGCAGAAACAAAATGGGCAGAGTTTCTTTTACCCTGATGCTCCTGTACCTATTTAGCAGTAAATAGGTACCTGGGAGGCAATCAACAGGTGTACAGGTACCTGAGCCTATTGGGTTCTATCATATCTTCACTTGCAACTGTATATGGAGTCAGCCTCCACCACATCACTTCCTAATGCATTTCATTTGTCAACCACTCTGACACTAAAAAAGTTCTTTCTAATATCTCTGTGGCTCATTTGGGCACTCAGTTTCCACCTGTGTCCCCTAGTGCGTGTGCCCCTTGTGTTAAATAGCCTGTCTTTATCTACCCTATGTGTGTGTGTGTGTGTGTGTGTGTGTGTGTGTGTGTGTGTGTGTGTGTGTGTGTGTGTGTGTGTGTGTGTGTGTGTGTGTGTGTGTGTGTGTGTGAAAAAAGTTAGTAGCAGTTGATGTTACTAACATCAAAGGGCCGAAAGAGCAAAGCTCAACCCCCGTAAGCACAACTAGGTGAATACACAAAGAAGGGGAGGGAACTATCAGGAATTTAGTTTCTTCAAGCTGTCTGTTTAATATAATGTCAGGAATAGCGTGTTGGTGCCATTTTCAACAGGCTGCCGGGGCTATGAACATTGTGGTGAGGCGCAGTTCTCGGGCGGTAAACACAGGCACCATGGTAGCCGGGAATCAATATCGTGACCTCGAGGATTCAAACAAGAATTCAACACAGTTCTCTAAACTTTACCGATAGGATTATCTTAATACTCTAGTACCAGACGCTTTAATATATGAATACAAGTAAATTCCTTTGCTGTTCAGAATGCAGTATTTACAACGAATTCTCGCAGTTCAAGAATACACGTACAAGTATTGTAATAACGGTTTGAGAAAATGTTCCTACTCAGGTTATATTGTTTACTTGAATTGCTATAATTGATCATTGACTGATGATCCCATGCCTTTCCTAGCTGTGAAAGCTGTATGGGGTGGCGATGGACCCCCATACTCATTCCGTGGGCGGTCGCGGATCTCATGCATTATTTAAGATATGTAATATATTAAATTTTTTAACATATTTAATGTTAGCAACCATCTTTTTCCCTAGGAAACCTAATACATGCAATGGAGAGGGAGGAAGTATCCGAAGATTTGTTCACAAAAGACAATGGACTAAACCAATCGTGCATTCAGGGTTCTGCCATGGTGTTGCATAGTTCAAAATCTGACTCAGGCCAGTTCATTACGGATGAATTATGCAACGAAGAATACAACAGCACGGACTTCGTGAGCCAAGATTTACACACTAAGGAGCCAAATAAGATTTTAGGAAAGCAGTCTCCAAGTACACAATCATACACAGTACGGGACAACAGCAACTCATCCCGCCAGTCACCATCCCAGGCACCCATGACCCGGCAGTCCAGCCGGGCCTCAGACCAATCACCATCCCATGAGGTACTCATGACCCGGCAGTCCAGCCGGGCCTCAGACCAATCACCATCCCATGAGGTACTCATGACCCGGCAGTCCAGCCGGGCCTCAGACCAATCACCATCCCATGAGGTACTCATGACCCGGCAGTCCAGCCGGGCCTCAGACCAATCACCATCCCATGAGGTACTCATGACCCGGCAGTCCAGCCGGGCCTCAGACCAATCACCATCCCATGAGGTACTCATGACCCGGCAGTCCAGCCGGGCCTCAGACCAATCACCATCCCATGAGGTACCCATGACCCGACAGTCCAGCAGGTCCAGTTCAACAACTCAAGAGGTGAGGCAGGGGAAAATCCTTCCATGTTATCACTAAAATACAGTACATACTTTGAATATACTTTCATAATTTCTAGATTACATACAAAAGTTTGAAACAATAACAACTGTATTCTGATCTCAGTTCACGTAACCCTGGAAGTAGTATGTGTATACGACAAATCTATGTAGGTGGTGATGACAAATCTATGTAGGTGGTGAAAAGGACAAGTTGAACTAGTTTAGTGGTTACCAGGTGTAATTCTATGAAGTTACTAAACAAATATAAAAATTTAAGCTCAACAAGTCACAAGGATCAGACAAAGTGTTTGTTAGGGTCCTTTAAGAATGTAAAGATGAACTACATGAGCCCTTGTCTCACATATTTCATTAATCATTTTAGTCGAGCAGTATCAGAATTGTGGAGGGTTGCAATTTGATGCCAATTTTAAAGAATGGGGAATGACTTGCGTCTTGAAAATCTTATATTATACTGGCCAACAGCCAAAATGCCCCTGAAACATATGGAGTCAATCTTGACTACTTCTGGGGTACTGAGAATGGAAATGTTTAAAATTGTTGATTAGCTCTAGTTTTCATCCAGTATGTCTTAATGATGTTTTCCTGGATAATGGGAGTATTTTGTCATCAATTTTATTGGGCTATGCATCCCATACGAGGAAAACTTATAACAACATGAAGTAGCTTTTGATATGCATAAACGATGACCAATATTAGTGGCAGTTCTATGTTGCCTTGAAGGTTGTTGCTCTTGTGATGGGTCTGCAAGGTGGAGACACAAATTACTTTGTTTTCTTTGTGAGTGGGATAGTCGTACGATAGATTACATTCCGTCCATCATAGGAGTCTGGGTGAATAACGTTCAGCTCACGAAAGACTCATTAAAGGTAAGGGAATATGATATATAGGATTAGGTTGGCTTATAACATAGTTATTTCCAAGAAAACAGAGAGCATAAATGGAGTAAAGTTGGAGTGGGAACCGCTGTAAGGGAAGTGCCCCGGAGCTCTGTCCTGGGACCTCTCTTGTTTTCCATATTAGTAAACGACATAGACACAGGACTGATTAGTAACAATAATAAATTTATAAATGATGCAAAAATAGGACAGGAAATAAATTCAGAAGATGGCTCAAAATCGCTACAGTACAATTTACTTAGGCTAATAAATTGGACAAAAGATTAGCAGATGCAATTTAATGCTAACAGATGTTGGGCTCTGAATCTAAGTAATGATATATAGTTACCAAATATCAGCTGGACAACGTTGAAATTTCCAAATTTGAATGCGAGAAAAAGGAGTCTCGGTCATGATTATTTGGGATATTAAGCCAAAAAATCAATGTCATCTTCAAAATAAGGCAATCAGGATATTAGGATTCATATTTAGAAGCATTAATAATATATCTAATGTTATTTTTCGGCTTTATCTTGCCTTTGTTAGGCCCCATTTTGACTACGCAATTCAGTTTGGTCACCATACTCTTGTGTCAGCTGACCCTGAGCTTGAGGATAGAGTTGTGATAGCCTATCCTGAACATTAGGAGAGGATGTTTATCTAAGCACTGCAATATCGATATCATTCTTGTTTCCAAACAAAAAATTAATATTTTACTGACAATTAAATGAGTTAATTAGGCTGAGCAAGAGTTATGATACATCGGTGTACTTAATTAATAAGATAATATATTCAAGATTTAAAATCAACAAAAGTTTATTAAATGATTGTTCACAGGTTCTTACAAGGGATGCGACGCTCAGAATGACCACAAGTTCGCCAGGAAATATTAGGTCTGACGTCTCACCTTCAGGATCTCTTGTGACTAACACTTCTACACAAGTATTATGCAGGACTTCTTCCTCAGTAACAGTGGATTTGCAAAGTTTATCAGAGGAGAGACCTATAAGTCTCACTTACGAACCTTATACGCCAATGGACGTCGAAGCTGTAGAAGATGAAAGGTCCAAAAAATCATCACCAGTCCCTAGTTTTGTCCGAACACGCCAAGAGGAAAAGTCTTTTGTGGGCTTCAATGTTAATGACCAATGTTTAACAGGTGTGAATTTAAAGCGTTCATCCCCAGCTCATGACATTCCCCGCCTTGTAACCACCGCTTCCCAAACACATGCTGATGAAGATTCCAGGAACTCGACTCCAGATAACATGTATGATGAGACTCCAAGTGAGAGTTCAAGATGTTCAACACCAATCCTTGTTTACGCTGAAGAACCTACTTGCAGTACAAACCAGTGCCCTTCGCATGTGTGCATGTCTACACAAACATCAACAAGCATGTCAGTGTGCGCGAGACGAGTGTGTATGTCAACCCAAACGTCGAAGTACAGGCGATCCCTGAGCTCACGTTCAACTCTTTTATCACCTTCTGGAGAAAAATGCAAAGGCGCTAAGCTAAAAAGCAAGTCAAGCAGTAGACCTACTCCAAGAGTGAGGAAGCAAAGACAGTCACCAGTAGGTACTGTGAAAAGAATTGTGAATAATAAAAAATCTCAACACGACTCACCAACACCAGTGGCCATCAGAAAACGAAAAATTAAGACCTCAAGCACAATATTATCAAAACGTTCTGTCCAAATACGCAAAACTAAAAGATTAAATATATCGTCCTCAGCACCTAAGTTAACCATAAAGCTCCGTGTCAGGAAGTACCCACAACACTCACCATATGCTGGATCTGTACAGACACAACATGTAAGAAAATCTGCAAGGTTCGACGCAATTCCTGTCTATCCAAAAACACTCCTGATGTCGGGTAATCTACACAAAGAGCCTCTCTCTTCTGAAGCACCAAGGACCTCGACTGAGGACGAACTCACAGACGTGTTATCAAAGACTACTAGCTTCGGGAATCTATCTACACTATCTTCGTCTTCTCAGAGAAACTCACCGACGCCGTCACATAAAAGCGCCTCGCACACTACTGGTGCTGGTGTTGACTCTCACAATTTAACACCGACAGGTGAAACAGTGGAATCCTCGAGCACAGAAGCCAAGGCTTCATCGCCACTGATAACGACGGCTTTCCCACGTGCTCAAAAACGAAAATGTATTGTTGCATCTGCCACAAAGAATAAAAAATGTAGTGGTCGTGGTTTGAAAAGTATTCCGCAGAGAGATGTAGGCAAGGCACAGATCAGGGCTGAAGATGACCTTGCCAGCTGCTGCCCCCCAGAAATGGTATGGTATTTGTTTAACTTCTTTGATACATTGTTATAAATATTTCGTATTGAAATTATTAACTTACAAGTACAGTTGTAATTATTAAATTTCAGTGCAATGGCATATCATTCAGTAAGTCAATTATGGTCACTCTTGGCATACTATTATAGAAGCACACAGTAGGCTTCCTGATTTTATCAAAGATAACTAAATTGGGACAGTAAATTACAATAAATATTTGTAATAGGATGTAAAATTATTCTTTAAAATTGGTCTTATTTATTGAATCTAAAGATTTGTGATTTCAAGATCTCTAACACTAAAGAGGGTTAGTAACAGTATGCACTAAAATAAATCATTTTGCATTAGGTTGAGGTGCTTGCAGCCGGGCAGCGGGGAGACTTGGAGCGAGTGGAGGAGCTGGTGCAGCTCCCGGGCCCCACAGTAACAAACCCCCAGACTGGGTGTACGCTCCTGCACGCTGCAGCAGCCAGCAACCAGCCCGAGGTGGTGCTCCTCCTCCTCAAGTTCATCAGCCCCAACATTGTCAACAAGGAGGGCCGCACCCCGGCCCACCTGGCCGCCATTAAGGGCCACACTCAGGTCTTGAAGATTCTGTTGGCTGATGAAGAAATGAATCCCAACAAGCGAGACAACTCCAACAGAACTTACAAGGACTTGGTAAGTTAAATATAGCATTATTTTAAAGTATATTTATGGTAGTGAAGCGCACGAAGTGATGACAACGATGTAGAGAAACACGAAGATGAGCGTAGGCTTTAATATTACATAGCACTTCACATTGGTGTGTTGGGACAGAGGGACTGGGACATCAACTGGCGGTTCTCTATTTGTCATGCTGAAGGAAAATTAAATCTGATATCAGCTGGCTGTTGATTATTGGACGAGTGTGTTTGGTGAAAAGGTATTTTCTCTATTTATTTTCTTATTGTTGCAATCTGTTGATATATGTACATGCATAAAAACAAATACACACACACACACATATACATACTGTATATACACACAACGTGAGGTTCAACTGAATCTACTTGAAGTAGAAGTGAACAGGTGAAATACATTCTCTACATTTAAGACGCTACCTGCTCTTCTGATAGAATGTATCTTGCATTCATTATTTTGCAGTAGTTACTATATCAATGTAATGTTAATATTGTTCCTGGTGATCCCTGAAGACATTACCTTGGTTTCTCATTCCAGCTCTCTGAGCCTCTGTTACTAGCAGTGCTGAATGGGAATGTGAGCAACATAGAGTCTCTCCTCAAGATGGGTGCTGACCCAGACTACCCTGCTGGTCAGCTGGTCCGTGGAGCGCTCTCTCGGGAACTAAATGTCACTACCCCCAGGCAGCTGGCTCAAACTCTCAACCGGGAATACCTTTTACGGTGGTTTCACAGTGTAAGCCTCCCCCCCCCATCCCTCTGGGGATTTTCTTGTTTCATTTATTCGCTAGTTTTAGATGCTTAATATTGATCTTTACAGTATATGAATAAAAAATAAGCTCGACCACTTTACGTAATGCTTATTTTGCTAATTGTTTTAATGTCAAATGCATTCAAAACGTTATATTATGAACACAAGTGGTGACTGTGTAGCATGGGAGGTGCGTAGTGTGATGAACACTGACATAATCATGCGAGTGGGAGTTGAGATAAGTGAATGTTATCACAATAACTGAGATAAGAACTTATCACTGCACGAAACATAAAACAGCTCACATGTTAGTAAATAAACAAATTAGCTATAAAATGAACATGCTTATGAACATGTGAACATTTGCAGCTCTCTCATGGTGCTTTTACCATGTGAAAGACATCAGGAAAATGTATTAACATGTGATATGCATTATTATTATTATTGTCTCACGAAGATTTATTTATTTTTTTTAAAGTAATGCAAATGGAATCAATGTATTTGTAGGAGGTGAAGGATGGCGGAGAGGACAATGAGGCGGGCGAGGAGGAGTCAGCCACTTGCATCAACAACCTGGCTGCCACTCTCAGGGTATGGCAATTTTGGCATCTATCCTAGCTCATATTAATTTTGTTTAGGAGATTTCCATGGAAATCGCATTGTTGACTTATATTACGTATATATAATTTCCAATACTTTTTAAGTTTTGATAAGAGTGATGACTTATAATATCGCAACTGTATTTCCATATCAAATTCTAATCTGGTTTTATGTGTATATATTTTTTTATGAATATGTATCTAGCGATCTGTTCCTTTAATTTGAACTTATTACAGCCGAGGCGAGTGAAGCCAGCAAGAGGCCAGGCTTCAGGACCCAACGTGTACAAGATGGACACAGACCCCAGAGGATACGTCTGTATCCTCAGCTACAGTTCCTTCAAGGACCGCCCCGACCTGGACCTCGAGGGTTCACACTCTGACGTCAACAACCTGTCAAACGTCTTCGGGAAAATGGGATACACTGGACACTCACACTCCTCCTTGACGGCACACCAGACCAAGCAAGTGTTGACGAGTGTCAGGGACATGGAAGTCCTCGACCATGTTGGATGTGCTGTTTTTGTCATCTCTAGTCATGGTGTTGGAAACGAAAAGTTTCTAACTAATGACATGAAACGTTTGTCAACCGAATGGGTTTGTGACCTCTTTAAGGATTCAGAATGTCCACGATTAAAAAATAAACCCAAACTGTTTATCTTCAACTTCTGCCGTGGCCATTACCAAGAACAACTTCTTAGACAAGCCAGCGCTGTGAAATGTACGAGAGTGAAGGAACCTCTTAAAGACATGATGTGTTTCTACTCAAACAGTGGAGGCTTCATGTCGTACACCTTCACTAAGGATGGAACCCCCTTTCCTAGGGCTCTGTGTCGCACTCTAGCCAAGCATGCCCACAATAAGGAGCTTAACGAGTTGTACAGAGAGTTCCTGAAGGAGTACTCTAAGGTATGTCCCACCGCTGCTCCTCAACTCCGGAACCTTGGCTTTACCAAGAAGTTCTACTTTAATCCAGTAACAACAGCTTAATATATGCAATGCATTTGAGGCAAGTCCAAGAGTATTTAAAATCTCAAGGAGAAATGCATAAGAGCTTTACGTACCACTTACAATACTTGTTAGCACAGACAATCGAGTTAGCAAACAAGATAACACAAGTACTTACGTTTACAGTAATTTTAGTCACTACAGGAGAATAGTGTACCTTCGTGGGCCCAGATCTAGACAACCAGCCCCAGCCGACTGGGTGTCTAGTAACGAGTCTGAATTATAGTAAAAGTTCCAATACACATTATGTTGCTATTTTTAGATTTTCGAAACGAATAAAAATCTTAAAAATTTTGTAATAATTAGATTTTTTAAATAAAATAGTATATTGAATTACATTGTTGCAGGAACCACATGAAGCCTATACTGTGTTATTGTTTGTGATACTCTCCCAGGTATCTGATAGATAATGTGAGTAGCAGCAAGCCTAACCTTTCACTTTGTCCTAATTTATTTCAATATTTACTGTAGTGTGCCTAAGCCAATAGAAAAATCTAAATATATGTTCAGGACGAAAGTGTATTTTCTGGTTGTCAGTAAGCTATCATGGTGGCCTTAATAACCCGCCAGAGGTTGATAGGCTATAATAACCCGCTAGAGGTTGATAGGCTATAATAACCCGCCAGAGGTTGATAGGCTATAGTAACCCGCCAGAGGTTGATAGGCTATAGTAACCCGGCAGAGGTTGATAGGCTATAATAACCCGCCAGAGGTTGATAGGCTATAGTAACCCGCCAGAGGTTGATAGGCTATAGTAACCCGCCAGAGGTTGATAGGCTATAGTAACCCGGCAGAGGTTGATAGGCTATAGTAACCTGGCAGAGGTTGCTAGGCTATAGTAACCCGCCAGAGGTTTACAGTCCCTAATTACCCACCAGAGGTCGAAAAGTTTTAAGCTCAACACCAAATGACAATACCGAAGATACTTTTAATGATTTATACATTTTTTTTGTTAATCAAATATTTAAAATAAAATTATAATTGTCTGCATTGTTGGTTAATTAATATCATCGAGCATTTTTACTATAACAGAGTAACAAACATACACTTCTACAGTATATTACTGGATCAATGATCAGAAGCTGATGTCAGGACTTACAGCTATTGTAACTTGTTGCAGCTGTTGTCACTTGTTACAGCTGTTGTCACTTGTTACAGCTGTTGTCACTTGTTGCAGCTGTTGTCACTTGTTACAGCTGTTGTCACTTGTTACAGCTGTTGTCACTTGTTACAGCTGTTGTCACTTGTTACAGCTGTTGTAACTTGTTACAGCTGTTGTCACTTGTTACAGCTGTTGTCACTTGTTGCAGCTGTTGTCACTTGTTACAGCTGTTGTCACTTGTTACAGCTGTTGTCACTTGTTACAGCTGTTGTCACTTGTTACAGCTGTTGTAACTTGTTACAGCTGTTGTCACTTGTTACAGCTGTTGTCACTTGTTACAGCTGTTGTCACTTGTTACAGCTGTTGTCACTTGTTACAGCTGTTGTCACTTGTTACAGCTGTTGTCACTTGTTACAGCTGTTGTCACTTGTTACAGCTGTTGTCACTTGTTACAGCTGTTCAGTCCATCCTAGCAACTAATGTAATTTTTTACGCTCGTAACCATCATTACTTTTTATTTTTTTTAAACATATTTAGGTACATCTGCATTTTTGCAGCTGTTCTAGACTATATGAAGGGCTACATAGTATGAGCATTAAATGCAGATATACCTAAATGTGAATAAAAAAAAGTAATGTTGGTTACGAAAACGTAAAAAATACGACCTATTTGGTGCAAGGACGGGTTGATAAGAAAAAAAAAATATTCTTCCACACAGTTATCAAGCACTGAGCAAGCAGACACATATCACCGGCCATTAACTGCAGAAAATTACAACGTGAATGTAAGACGACAACTTTTCAGTACGAACGAGAACCAACTATTTCTTCTTTAGGATACGAACAGTTTGCCGATGACTACAGAGGCAGGCGGTCTTGCGCAGCTGCGTCATGGTGGCTCATCATTATCTTTTTTTTTTTTTTTTTTTTTTTTTTTTTTTTTTTTTTTTTTTTTTTTTTGAGATATATACAAGAGTTGTTACATTCTTGTACAGCCACTAGTACGCGTAGCGTTTCGGGCAAGTCCTTAATCCTATGGTCCCTGGAATACGATCCCCTGCCGCGAAGAATCGTTTTTTCATCCAAGTACACATTTTACTGTTGCGTTAAACAGAGGCTACAGTTAAGGAATTGTGCCCAGTAAATCCTCCCCGGCCAGGATACGAACCCATGACATAGCGCTCGCGGAACGCCAGGCGAGTGTCTTACCACTACACCACGGAGACTGCAAACTGTTCATCGTTAGTGTTATCGACACTTGATCAATCGCGATTTCATTGTTTTGCGGTTAAACTTGATGTTCTCACCTAGTTGTGATTGCGGGGCTTGAACTCTGGCTCCTTGGTCCCGCAAATCTTTGTTACACGTGCTGTCTGGGTAAGTTTCCTCCCTACGACCTTTCCTAAAAACTTGGGAAAGTTTTTAATCCTTATATGGGGCCGGACCCGAAACTGGCACATACGTTGAAGAAACAGATAAGAGAAACGAGCGGTGATAGCTGGTGTTGTGTTGATAGGCACCATTCTGTTGTTGCCAAGGAACAATGGGCATCAGAGCCGGGCTGGAGCCGGAACTAAAAGTCTGAAAAAGATTCGATCTGTGAGGGAAGCCAACAGGCGGACGAAACATGCCCGGCTGTGATTATTTCCGAGGTTAGTAGATGTGTTCTATGTCCACATGTGGTCAAAAGAAGAGGCAGATGCTTAAATAATTGTTGGGGGGTTTTGTGAACCTAGATAACCTAGATAGATTTACAGTCTCCGTAGTGTAGTGGTAAGACACTCGCCTGGCGTTCCGCGAGCGCTATGTCAAGGGTTCGTATCCTGGCCGGGGAGGATTTACTGGGCGCAATTCCTCAACTGTAGCCTCTGTTTAACGCAACAGTAAAATGTGTACTTGGATGAAAAAACGATTCTTCGCGGCAAGGGATCGTATTCCAGGGACCTGCCCGAAACGCTACGCGTACTAGTGGCTGTACAAGAATGTAACAACTCTTGTATATATCTCAAAAAAAAAAAAAAAGATACTGCCCGAAACGCTGCGCGTACTAGTGGCTTTACATGATTGTAAATACTATGCTATGTATTCTCTCTAACCCAATGTACCTTCTTGCATATATATAAATAAATAAATAAAGATACAAGCATGCATTTGAGAAAGCTAGCGACTTGTGGGTTGTATAGTTGGTTTAATTTACTAGATGAGGCACTCGGGTTTCCCTCCCCCTTGTCTCTTCTCCCTGTTTTTTATCTCCTCCCTTATCCCCCCCTCTATTCCATTCTCCCCTTTCTGCCTTTCTCTCCCTTTCCTCTTTCCTACTCCACCTCTCTCCCCCCCTCTCCTCCCATCTACTTCCCTCTCCACCTTTCTTGCCCTCTCTCCTTCCCTTTTACAACCATCCCTCTCACAGAAAATGTAATATTATGAAGTATTAAAAACTATCAAATAATTCTATGGCAAATACAAACTCTAATTCACACTGGACTTTATGAAAATCGCAGTGGGTGTCGCTATAGATGCCGATATTTCTTAAAGTGTGGCACTAAGGCCAACCCCGACTGGTCTATGACATTCCCTTAAATCTCCACCATGTATCATCTTGGAAAGATAGATGAGGCTATCCCCAAACGTCTGGCTTGCAATAGACAACACGATGTTATAATTTATAGATATAAAGTATACATCCAACAAGATGCATACCACGAACTGTTTCGTTAGTGTTAGAACCCTCGACCGTAAACTGGGAAAATATTATCCGCCGGTGTCTTTAGGTGTAATATTTCTGTGTATTCAAACAACTGATCATACACACAACACAGCAGTAGTTGTTACACTGGAGTTTGTTATTTAATACTTGAGTTACTATTTTACCCATCAATTACTTGGCAATTTAATTTAATGTATTAACCTTTCGGTATATTAGTCGTAGTTCCTAGTAACCTATGTGCTCCAATTTGTTGCACGTTACACTTGTTTACGCTGACTACTAGCCTATGTGTTCAAATTCATGGCACATCATATGTTTACTATTTAATTTGATCATAAAAATCAATTAAATTAAATCTTGATTAAAATTATAATTATTCCCAGTGTCACTTACTTAGCTAAACGAACTGTGAGGTTCAGTTCCTGAACCCATTATGTGCCTCTGTAACACCTTCCACCACCGCCCACGGGATGGGTATAGGGTGCATAATAAAAAACGAAATTGAATTCCGTTTCACTCAACTCTCAGAAACAGAGATTTTGGATACGGGCGTAGTTATTGTACACCGTTCATTTATTGGAGGAAGTTATGGTGGTATTCAGGATTTACTGGAGTTCACCGAGATAAGTCACAAGCAGTGTCTTCGTGGTTGCTTTTATATTGAGTTCCAGTTGTGACCCGTCGTCCTGGTCCCAGGTCTCTTGATACAGCCTGTGTTTATTCACCTTGTCGACTCCTTCAGGAGTATATACCTTGTAAGGTGACCATATTCTCTCCATGTGTGTGTGTGTGAGTGTATACGTCACACTGCTACATGTTAAGGCGTGTGGCGGCGCCCGGTGATGTCTCACGTGTTGCAACTCCTCCATCCTCTCCCCCCATCGCCTCTCACACGTAAAGACTGCCTGAGCGCGCTCTCTAGTCTCTCTCTATCAAGCAACAACGCATTTGTGCTCCTGTGCCAGGTAAGTCCACCAGGGGCTCAGCATAGCCCCGTGCTACTTAGAACTTTCTGTTCAGAGTAGCTGAATCTAAAACAACAAAACAAAAACAGCTTTCTCGAATAGCCGCTGGCGCGTCGCCGGCATCAACAAGGAAAACATTACACTGTGGACCCTTTGAACTCGGATAATTTGTATTGTTTTTCCCTTATATATTATTAATACTGGTAAATACATTTTTGGTGGGATCACCAGACTTCTCAAGACCAGTCTTGGCTATTAACAGCATTTATAAGCAGGTATATTAGAAATTACTTATTACGGACACCTACAATACTTTGCTCTTGTTAATATACTGATCTACATCACTAGTTCATGACTTGGACTTTGGGTCTTTGTTTAGAGGACGGGCTGTATAAACAGCCCGTCATCATAAACAAAGGCCAAAGTCCAGTCCATACACCCGCCAAACCCCCTGTTTATGAATGAAAAACGGTTTACACATGACTTACAACTGATTTCGTTCGAACACTTCCGGAACAAGTGCTTCACTGACGAATTTTGTTCAAACCATAATGCTATAAATGCTTCACCCACGAACTACAAATACAAATAATCGCCAACAGAACCTAAACAACTAACATAACCTATGCCTATATATGCACAATATGCTAATATAATATTATTTTATATTTGAGAAAATTCCCGTTTTGAATGAACAGTATGTAAAAATTTATGAATGAGTCTATGGGGTCGACCGCTGGATGTACAACCCATTCTCGACTCAAGTCCATTACATCCAGTGGTCGGCCCCCACAGACGCATTCATAAATTTTGACATGCTGTTCAATCAAAACGGGAATTTTCTCAAATATAAAATAATATTATATTAGCAAATTGTGCATATATAGGCATAGGTTAGGTTATGTTAGTTGTTTAGGTTCTGTTGGCGATTATTTGTATTTGTAGTTCGTGGGTGAAGCATTTATAGCATTGTGTTTCGAACAAAATTCGTCAGTGAAGCACTTGTTCCGGAAATGTTCGAACGAAATCAGTTGTGAATCGTGTGTAAACGGGTTTTCATTCATAAAACAGGGGGTGTGGCGTGTGCATGGAATCACTTTTGGGTCTTTATTTGGAGGACGGGCTAGGATGTAATGGACTTGAGTTGAGGACGGGTTGCAAATGCTTCACCCACGTACTACAAATACAAATAATCGGCAACAGAACCTAAACA